TCGTTTTTCAGCAGAGTAAAGCATCTCCCTCTAGCTCCCTCTCTCTCTATTTCTGTCTCTCTCTCTCTCTCTCTCTCTATTTCTGTCTCTCTCTCTCTCTCGTTCAGTGTGTAGTTTTGTTGATGAATATCCTGCCTGTATGCCCGGCAAATGTTTGTGCATACAATGAAAAAAGAACTTTGTTTATCGCACGGCAATTACTTTTGGTCTGGTCTGGTCTGGTCTGGTCTGGCCTTCAGCCGCTGTCTCCCCTGCTCCCTGCTCCCTGCTCCCTGCCCGGACTTTGGTTTTGGATTACACTTCGCACTGCCGTCCCGCCCTCTGATTGATGTAATTGAGTGAGCGTTTGATTGATTGACTGACGGACAGAGAGAGAGAGAGAGAGAGAGAGAGAACAGCACATGAAATGCAATGCCACGCCATGACATCAAATGTTGATGGATGCCAAAAAACAAGGTCAAGTTGTGTGACCCCAAACCCCCAAACCCCCAACCCCAAAACCCTGTCCCCAAAGGGATGCCCTCCACTCAATATTTCATTTGTCCAATCAGTGCTCGAGAATGGGAAATGGGAAATGGGAACACAATCCACGCATCTCTCCACGCTCTCCCCCCCTTGACTTTCTCCGGGGGGTGGCTTGGACGCTCATCAAATATTTAAATGCCAATTTCACAAATATTCTACGGACTCGCAAATTCAATTTCGCAAATGTAATGCCGCTGCCAGCAGCAACAGCAGCAACATCTCACCTCATCTCCTCGATGTACAAAGTAGGAAATTAGATACCAAAAAAAATCATCAGCATTTGGCGGCAAAGTGCAGCATATTCCACAGCATAATGGACGGATGGGATGGATGGGATGGATGGGATGGGTACGATGCGTACGCCCCCCCGAGATATTTTCTGAGGGGCAGAGCTACGCCCCTTTTGGGCTCCTATTGCCACAGATTGCCAGAACTACTTTTTTGTACGGCACACGACAATGTGTCAAAGGAGGCAGCGAGAAGGGCAAAGAAAGGAGGGGGGAACATCCACACATGAATATTTGCATCTGCCTTTCTACAGTTTCCCCTTTGGCAGTGGCAGTTGCAGTTGCAGTTGTGCAGCTTTTGTGGCATGCCACAGCCAAGTGCTGGCTGGCATGTGCTAGCACACAAAGGGTATGAGAATGGGTACGGGGTGTGGGGGGTGGGGGGGGTGTGGGGGTATGGGAATGTCGCGTGCAGAGAATTTTCCACAAATTGAATGCTCCTGTCCATAAGTAGAATATGTGTATCTTTAGGATATTCAAACGAGCCGAGCGCCTTGCAGGACATGCAACAAGAGGAGGCAGGCCGCAACTTTTATGGCCGCAAAGTATGCAATAATAAATTGAGCAATTGTCGCTGGCAGGCAGTCGACACAGGCAGGGTTAAAGGGCTGGCAGGATGGCTCACTGGCTGGCTGGCTGGCTCACTGGCTGGCTCACTGGCTGGCTCACTGGCTGGCTGGCTGGCTGGCTGCCTGGCTGCCTGGCTGGCTGGCTGCCTGGCTGGCTGGCTGCCTGGCTGGCTGGCTGGCTGGCTGGCTGGCTGGCTGGCTGGCTGGCTGGTGGTGGTATGTGTGGTGGCCCAGCCCTGGAGTGGCTGCCACTTGGCGCGCACGTAATGAGCATATTTGTAGCACACTTCTGAGACGTACGTGTGGCAGTGCGTTGTCTGTGTGTGTGTGTGTGTCCTTTGAAGGAAAGTTTTCGCAAGTTATTTTTACTTTCTACCTTTCTCCACCCCTCCCTCGCTCGAAGCCCCCCCACTTGAGCCGAATTTCTGGTCGATTCATCTCGCATACGCAGATACACAGGTGATGAGGCGTGGCAGCAGAGACAGCAGCAGCAGCAGCAAATGGCGCAGGTATATCCTTCGAGAGCTGCCAGCAGAAGTGGGATCTCCGAATGCACCTCGGGTTTCCCCCCATCCACTTCAGCATGTAACATAATAATTATTGCAGCTAAAATAATGAGGGGGGGGAGTACTCAATAAATCTGAGTAGCAGAGGGCTTCTCTCTCGCTCTCCGTGTGCCCCTTTCTGCATTTAATGGCCGTCACAGGAGCCCAGCAGCAGCAGCAGCGACTGGACCCGTAAATCTCCCCCGAAACGATCCAAACACACACACACACACACACACACACACACACACACAGACACAAAAAACTAGGGCAACGAAAACGAAACCCAACACTGCTCTGAGCTATGGGCCATTGTCCTGGGTCCTGGGTCCTGGGCTGTGGGTCCTTGGGCCTCCTGCTCATTAGGCAGCGAATGTAATCCAAGACGAGTGCATTCGCAACTCCACCTGCTCCTTCGGCCCAGCCCGGCAGCCAGCAAAAATTGAAAGTTCAAATGCGCTCAGAAGAGCGTAAATTCATTAAACGCTCGCCGGAGTATTTTCGGGCAGCTCCGGGCCCCACTCCGCGCGCCCCCTCTAACGAGCTTCAAGCTTCAAGCTTCAACAATGAGCGAAAATTTTGCAGCTCATTGAATTTGAAGTCATGTGTAACATGACAGCACAGAAGGTCCTCCGAAAGAAAGTAAAGGAAATCAGTGGGCGCCCAGTTGGGGGGGGGAACAAGGGGCGGCACACGGGGCACGAGAGTAATCAGTCAGCCATACTCGCATAGCGAGTGGCAGAGGCCATTGGTGGAGCACCAGCTGCGGGCATAAATGTCACACAAAGGACTCGACGCCTCCTGGAGAGCGGAGCGTGGCGTCGCATCGCATCGCATAGCGTCGCGTCGCGTCGGTCTTCTGTCGAAAATATAAATAAAGAGAAGCCCCAAACGGAAAGGAATCACCGGGGGAGGTGGGGGGGTTGTGCCCGCCACAAAGAGAAATCAGTGGGCATGGCCGCCAACAAATTGAAAAGCCAACAAGGAAAAAAAAAAATTCCAGCCACTTGACTTCGCCACAGCCGAAGCCACAAGCCCCACAGCCACCAGAAGAGCAGCCCAACAGCCCAACAGCCCAGTTGCCCCCATTGTTGGGTGAACCCCACACACAAAGAGACACGAAACCCCGTCAAAGTCAGGTGCACGAGGCCATGGCCGTGGGTGCAGTGAAGGAAGCCCCCAAAGTGATACCAAAAAGCGCAGAGAAATCGAAATCGAAGTCGAAGCAGCGAACCTGTGGCCATGGCCCTGACACCGCCACACTGCCACAATGCCACAATGCCACTGTGTCGCTAACGCTGACGCCATCCGCTAATTTCATTAGGCGCCAACGTCAAAAGCCGTTGTCCAAGACATCGGATGTTTCGTGGCTTCCGGCTCGAACGATTTCGAATTTCAGCGTGTTTCAGACTTAACCGTTGTGTCAGTCAACCAGCTGTGGTCGAACCAAAAGATACAGATACGTGCCCCCAACAACCCAACAACCGAACAACCCAACAACCAAAGTCTGTGCCTCAATCTGCTAGGATCTGCCTGTGCCTGTGCCTGTGCCTCGCATCCTGTGCGCCATTTGGTTGCAGTGACTGTGTTCCTTCCAGAGTTTTGAGAACCTCAGAGCACATTTGGCGCCGAGTGTGAAATGTTTTTGCCTTCAGTGAGTTTTTTTCATGTGGTTTTTATTTTCAAGTTGTGACTGGAATGGTTCAAGACCGTTACCAAACCCATTTCCATTGAAATCAAGAATTCCGAGTGTCCTGTTGTCAAAGTGAATAAAGTGCCACAACCTGCGCATAGCCAGCCGATCCATAACCGGCTTATTGGCCGATAGCCGAGCTCTTAAGCCGGCATACCCGATGCCAAAACCAAGTTTATTTTTGAGGCCAGTTCAGATTGCACGAACAATGAAACAATCTGCTGCCAGTCAAAATCAGCTCAAAGTCCTCCTCGGATCTCTCGTGGCAGTGGATTGTGGATTCAGTGGGCCCAACCCAACCCATTAGGTTTTGCTTTGGTTTATTATGCTCCTATTTGTCGGTGCATTTGGATGAGTGTCCATGCCAGAAAGGAGGCAATCGAATCCTACAATAATTGCAGACTTATTAATATTTCGTTGGCAGCACTTTAATTGATATTCTGGAGCGAGTTTCGGGTTGCCAAAATAAACTCAAAACAATGCAAAAACCAAACAGGACGAAGACCCAGAGATGGCACACAAATGGAGGAAGTGCGAAAGGGAAAGGGCAAAGGAAGAGGGAGAGGGAGAGGGAGAAGTGGTGGAGACATTCGACCACGAAACGAAGGCCACGTTCGATTCAAAATTGGAAATTTTTCTACAATGCACTCGACCTTTTTGTGTGTGTGTGTGTGTGTGAGGGGGTGGGGTGGGTGTGTGGGTGGCAAGGGGTAAAGAGGAGCAGAAGGAAGTGGCAACTGGAATTTCGTTTCCATTTCTTGACCAACAATTATCGAAGACCATTCTGGGTTGCCTCCTCTCTGTCCGTCTGACTGTCTGTCTGTCTGTCTGTCTGTCTTTTGGGTTGTTTGTGTGGCATGCCACACAGCAGGTCAGGTTTGTTTTTGTGCTGACCATCAGGTTTTGTGAGTCTGTCTAATGGGTGTCTTTTTCTCCATTTTATAATTGCAGCTAAAACGGATTACATAACCAGTGAACGGAGAACGGAGAGCGCAGAACGGAGAACGGAGAAGCGGAAGGCAGTGCGGCACGCGTGGCACGTGGCACTTTGCACGTTGCACGTTGAAGGCTGGAGCTGCAGGTGGAAAATCCCTGAAAATTAGTTCAATTAGCCCAAAACAATTCCCTTCGATTCGTTTCGATTCGTTTCGTTTGGGGGCATGGACTGCTGCTGGGGAGACCATGTGATCATTCTGCAATAAATGCAATTGTATATAAACCAAAAACAGAAACGGAAACAGAAACAAATACCAAACGAAGACACCGATACACACACAGGTACCGCAACTGATTGATCAGCAGCTAGCAAAATATATTTCGAACATGCCCCACACTTGAGCCCCAGCCCCGCCGAGAAGATAGAACACCAACAGCTAAGAAAGTAGCTAGGGAGATCGGCCAAGCAGAGATCGGCTATAGGTTATAGGACAGACATCTGGCAAGATCGCGTGGATCGCTGAGATCGCAGAGATATATATGCGTTGCCCCCCACATTTGGCAAAGGCAAAGGCAAAGCCCCTTCCCCGCTGTGAGCTGTGAGCCGTGTGAGCCGTGGGAGCTGTGAATAAATATGACCAAGAAGTACGAGTTCGATTGGATCATTCCGGTGCCGCCGGAGCTGACCACTGGCTGTGTCTTCGATCGTTGGTTCGAGAACGAGAAGGAGACCAAGGAGAATGACTTTGAGCGCGATGCCCTCTTCAAGGTCGACGAATATGGATTCTTTTTGTACTGGAAGAGCGAGGGTGGGGGCTAAGTTTTCCGTCCCCCCCTCCAGCCACTAATCAATCCCTTATAATCTTATCCCTTTTCGTGTGCTCATTTGTTGTTTTCTGCAGGATGGCGATGTCATCGAGCTGTGCCAAGTGAGCGACATTCGTGCGGGCGGCACCCCCAAGGTGAGTATCTCCGGAGAGTTCCAAAGGCCAAAGGCCACCCAGACAAAGTTCTCCTAATGCCAGTGCAATGTCCATGCCTAGAATATACATATAATATATGCACGAAAGTCCACTCCTAGTGGCTACAAAAGCAACAAAAATAAGAGAACTCAAGCAGCGATCAGCCTGGTCATGCACACGACATGTGTTTGCTTTTTACCTTCTCGTTGAGTCAATTGGGCGGGGCAAAGGGAGCCCCGCGGGGTTAGATGCAGAAACAGAGAATAGAATATGGCAATGAAAGACAATGAAAATGAGCAGAAAAAATTCAAATGAATGAAGAACGATTTATGATTTAATATTAAGGGGAAACCTACACACCCAAGAATATTTATTCCTCGTTGCATGTGGTGGGGGGGGTTCCAACTCTAAGCATCAATCACAAATAAAAGAGAACTAATTGTCGTTTCATGGCAAATCATTGGGGGGATGTCCACATACTCGCCTCCGTCGTACTACTCGTTCTCGTACCGCCTGCAGCACTTTGCTCTGCTGTCAAAGTGCCTTCTGGTTCTGGTTGTAGCTCTGGTTTGGTTCCAATTCTATTCTCATCTCATCTCGTCCTTAATCTATGCAAAACTTTTGACTGAGTTGCAGTTTCCTCCTCTTCCTTCTGCCTGTCGCTCCACACAAAGCCATAGAACTGTCCATGTGTTCAAATATCCACCGAGTATGTATGCGAGTACATACATACATATGTGGCAGAGTTTCTCTGGCAATGTGGGTGTGTGTGTGTGTGTGTGTGTGTGTGTGTGTGGCAGCGTGTCTGTTAATGTGTCAATATGTCACTTTTGCTCTCAATTGTTTTGCAGCCGGAGCCATTTTGGGATCAAAGTCGTCCTTGTCATCGACTTGAAGGCATTTCGTTTGCAATGCGTTGGATTTATTGTCACCCGGCGACCGGCCACGCCCCAGTTGCTCCACACCATTATGCGACCGCCCTCGCCCCCGCCCCCCCCCCCTTTCAGTCATGACATATTGCACTAACAGAAGTGTTCGTGGAGCGGACAGGACAGCAGAGGCACAGCCACAGCACAGGACAGGACAGATACATAGAGTGATGTATTTGTATTTGTATTTGTCTGTGGACATCGGGGCATCCTAAATGAAATTTATGACCGAACGAGCACACAAAGAGAGAGAGAGAGAGACAGAGAGAGAGATACAGAGAGAGACAGAAAATTAACCTATAGATTTATATATAGTGGAAGGGGTGCGGGGGGGTTGGGGGTTACCCTGCGGCAGGTGCTGCTGCTAACTAATTTAGATTTGCCGCCTGGCCTGCAGGCCCCGTGCCCCCTCGATGACACACATTTTAATGGGTCACACAGCACACACACACACACAGACAGACAGACAGAGAGAGAGAGAGAGAGAGAGCGAAAGTGAAACTGAAACTCAAACTGAGGCTTGGACAAGTGCATCCATCCATTCATCCAGGACGGACACGCCCTGTCCTCTGGCCAATCTTCCAAGCCACAAGACTAGACGGCTGCACGACATACGAGCAGTGGGGGGAGGGTGGAGAGGAGGAGTAGCCAAAGCAATTGGGCTACCAGTGCAGCAGCACTCCACGACCCACCGCACGAGAGCCCCTTGGCAACGATACAGGTGTTCCATTGATACGGTGCACAGGTGCAAAGGTTTATTTGCCCCTGCCTCTGCCTGTGCCCCTGCCTCTGCCTCCTGCTGCCCCAAAAATGTTTCCAGGAAGAACTTGACTTCAGTGGTTCAGTGGAAAACATTCTCAAACAGAATTGCAATGTGCTTGAATTATTCCAAAGGGCGGAATTCATTACCACTTGCTTCTTGGTAGTGAGAGAATGATGAGAAATAATCCCATTAATCCCATTAGTTGCACGCTCTCCGCCCGCAAAATTCAACTGAATCTGAAACTGGATATGCAACCGCACTGTAGCCACTCTCGGGAGTAAATTGGCATATTTATCCTTAGAATTTAGCTCTCAGAACTCTGCGGCAGCAGCAGCAGCAGAGGGAAAATATGTGACGGATGCCAGAGAAAGAGAAGGAGAGAGCGAGGGAGAGGAGAGCTGCAAGAGCAGAATTCATTAATAGTTTTCAACGGAATTCAGATTAAACTTTTGTGTACAAAAAATCCCAAATGAAAATGGGAAATATTTATCAAACAATTCAGGGGAATTTCAGCTGGGGCTAAAGCGCCACAGGAGCCTAATAAATGGGAATGCTTCTGTGCTCGTAATTCACAATAAATAATTCACGCGTACATTTACATGGAAAACCAAATGAAAAGCCACCGTCAAAGGGTTTCTTCATCAATTTGAACATTCATTTGATGAAAATTCTACCGCTGAAACTTAATGGGGCTCAAAGTCTAAAAATTGTGCAATGTTGTGAATATCCCATTCAATATCCACTATGTCGAATGATGGGGCCTCGAGGCAGAGGCTAACCAGATGCATTTTGATCCAAATGAGATGCTTAAAGAGTGCTAAATACTCGCACCTAAATGCTCGCAGTGAAGTCTAAAATTCCACTAAAATAAGACCAAAGAGAAATGCTCTAAGGGTAGCGGGTAAATATTAATAAAACTCTTAGCAGGAACCATAATAATTCCCTTTCTTATGGTTTATTTGGGAAATAGTCAAGTGGAGCGGGAGAGGGGAGAATCCTATGCCCGATACGAGTGTTCCACTTGCAGTGGCTGCACCCCAAAAAGCCCTCGAGAGATTATCCGCATGGAAACTCCCATACCAGGCTTTATCCCTTGTGGATCGAAAACAGCTGTTTCCCACGAAAGAATTCAATTAAAGTGCAAAATCCACAGAGGGAGCAGCAACAGCAGCAGCAGCTGCAGCAGCTGCATATATACATATGTATGTATGTACGTGTGTGGGGCATGGGAGCAGGACCAAAAGGATGTCAGTTTGCTGGGGGCCATAAATGTTGACCACAAACGAGATGATGGCCAAAAGAAAAACGAAAGTTGAAAGTCGAAAGAGATGCAAAAACTTTTCAAAGGATGGAGCGATGTGAGGAAAAGCAGAAGGTGGGTGGTGGAGTGGGTGGTGCCCCAAAGGGGCAAATATGGGAGCGGATGAAGGTGGTGGCGTCTCTCTGTGTGTGCCTGTGTGTGTGTGCGTGTTTAGTGCTCTGCCATCACTTGAAATGTTTGGTCATCAATATTAAATCAGTGAGCGACACACAAACACACACGCAAAAAATAAAGTAAGAAAGAGAAAGAGGGAGGGAGGGAGGGAGGGAGAGGGTGGGAGAGGGGTAGAAACAGCGAGTGGGGTGGCGGGGATGAGAGAGTTTTGAGTGGAAGACCGATACACGAGTCAAAGCCTCCTAAGTGGCAGTCGCACAATGGACCATTAAAAGCTGCCTCGTGTTGCTGCCACAGAGGGAAAAAGTGAAGAGAGAGAGAGGGAGAGGGAGAGGGAGGGAAAGAGTAAGCCACAGAGGGGAACAGGAACAGACCCAGACAGAGAAAGGGAGTGGGAGTGGGAGTGGAAGACGTGGAAAGAACGGTGAAGAGGTGATAACTGAAAACGAATGAAAAAGAAAAAGGAAAGGTGTGGAAGCAGAGGAAAGGTAAATGTGAAATGCGGATGAGGTGGAAGAGCAGAAGGAGGAGGAGGGGCAAATGAGTAGCGATTTATTCGGGGGGAGGGAACGGGGAATGGCGAAAAGGAAATATTGAAAACGAAATCATTTCGAGCTACATTGCACTCAAAGTACATTTATTCCAATGGAAGGTGGGTGGGGTGCGGAACCCCCCGAACCTTACCTTCCATTTCATATACCTTGAATGCAGTTTTGTAAGCCTCTTCGGACGCCCACACACACACACACACACACACTCACACTCTGTCACTCTCACTCTTTCTCTCTCTCTGTCAGTCCCTCTCCTGTTGACACTACTCACAAATACATGCACGCACACACGCACACTCGCCCCCGCTCTCCGTTTCTGGTCACCGTTTTAGCTGCCGCCTCCTCAATAATGCACTCTGCCCCCGCCTCCATTTCTGTTACCATCTGCCGCCTCCGTCTCTCTGTCTCCATCTCCGTCGCCACACTCCGCACTCCCTGCTTCAATATCTGGCACCCTGGTGCCAGCTTCAGTCTCCGCCTGCTGTCACTGCCTAACCCCCCAGCCCCCAGCCACCATGCCCTCATCTGGCGCTCATCTGCTCTGCGGACAAAGTACGTCAGCAGCAGAATCAGCAACAACAATAGAAACTGAAAGCAAAGCAAGTGGCAAAAAAAAACACACACACACACACAGGAGAATGAAAGAATGAAAGAAGGGGAAGGAAGGAAGAAAAGAATAAACGAACGAAGGAAGGAAAAGGAAAAAAGGAAAACTTTTATAACATTTGCTTTCACTTTATTTCGATTTGTGGTGTGTAGGCGGGGAGAGACACACGAAGGAGGAAGAAGTCGACTTATTTAGCACTCAAAAGTATGCTACAGTTCCTCTCTACAGTCCCTCCCGCTCTCCCTCTCTGTCTGACTCCTCACTTTTTTTTTTTTTGGACACAAATTACACTCGAACTGATTGAGCCTTTGAGTGTGTGTCCTGTCCATAATGGGAGGATGGGGAAGGCAGACCGGAGACCAGGCGGCCAGGCGGCCAGGCGGCCAGGAGGATCCTTGCATAATTCAATTTCCTCAAAGAACTAAATCATTTAAGTGGACCCAGACCCAGACCCAGAAATGGGTGTACTTTCGTGGCATGAGGGAGAACTGGAGAATCGAAGAAAATGCATTTACATATGTACATACATACATATGTATCTCTGGGGGAAAAGAGCAGAAAGGCAAAGGATGAACAAGACAAGAAGCGATAAATGTTAATTAAACCCAAAGCAGAGAGAGAGAGAACGCTAAACAGAAACCACAATAGTTCCATTACTCGCTGATTTATTTATGGAACAATTATCCGAAAATTGTTCCCCACGCTGATTGGGCGGATTATTGTAGATACCAATCAAAGACTATTTACGGATCGCGAACAGTGCACTGGGACAGTGGGACTTTCATCTCGCTCTCTCATGTAATTCGATTCCGAAATCGAATTAAACCCGAAACGAAGGGCAAGGTCAAACACTTACATATATGTATGTGTATAGATATGACGTCTGTTTTTGCTGGCTTTCGATGCGCATTCGAGCGCTGCACTGAATGTTGATAAATGCTTCGCCCACGCCTTGATTAATGATGCGACCCACGGAGATTAATGTTGTTGCTTTTTCGCCTTTTTTGCCTGTTTCGCTTTTGGGCCAATGTTGAGCCAGATTGCAGTGCCGAGCAGAGAGCAGCGAGCAGCTTGCGGAACTTAATCTCATATTTATTTGCTGTTTTGCAGGACCCCAAGATACTGGATAAGGTGACCAAAAAGAACGGAACCAACATACCGGAGCTGGACAAACGATCTCTCACCATATGCTCGAACACGGACTATATCAATATAACATATCATCATGTTATCTGCGCCGATGCGGCAACAGCCAAGGTAAGGTATCGTGACAGCCATGGAGACGTCTCTGGAGGGACAAGAAATCTCCGCTCACAGCGCACAGCACATCTCCCTGCATCTCCTCCATGCACCACCACCTGAGCGCCGACTCAACTGAACGACATCTCATGTGGGGACACCGACTATCCATCCTCTCTTCTTTTAGATCTGGCTAGATGGCATCCGAAAAATCACCCATAATGTCAAAGCGAATAATATCTGTCCCATGATGTGTCTGAGAAAACAGTAAGTCCACTCCACTCCACTCCAATCCACTCCAATCCATTCCCATTGCATGGGATCTGGTGCGTTTTTCGTTTTCGTTTTGACCCTGAACAGGGGTCTGCATGCCGCACATTAATGCCACATGGTGCACCTTCACTCGACTGCAATTCATTCCCGTGTACATACAGATGTACCCAGCACTCGTAATTGCATTCATTTGCCACTCAACTCAATTCAACTCAGCTTACTCTCTGTTTACTCTTGACTCCTTCTACTCCTGCCCTATTTGTTGCATGTTGCATGTTGCTGTTGTGTTTGTTCTTCTTTACTATCTATTATTACACTTTCTCTCTCCTCTATCTCTTGCTCTCTATCACTGTGTGGGTGTGTGTTTTTTTTGTGTTTCTTGGAGCAGAGTTGGCAAAAGAATTTGCGTCTTATAACGCATAACAATCGCGCCACAAATGTGTGTCCGCGCACCAATCTGATGAAACAGTAAGTACCAAAATCCCCCCTCCCCCAATCTGTGCTATCTACCCTGCTACCCTGCTACCTGTGTACTGGCTAGTGACACACAAAAGAGAGTATAAACAGTGAGCGGATGGGTAACGCCCATACATGTGCATTGCCCATCCGTTCACTGTTTATATTAGCCTTGGAGACACCACCCTACGGCGTCCTGCAATGGCAGAGCGAGTCATGGTCCGAGAGAAACCAGGCAGCGGTCATCTTGAATGCTACGCCGGCTGCCCCCGTTCCATCCCAGGCCCAATCAGCAGCAGCGAACGGATCCCCTGGGAGAATGTTCTTCCCTTTGCGACTATAATTTAGCTATAGATCGATGGAAGGTTCCAGTCGGCACAGTACCATGAACCTCTCCCGGTGGGTGGCAAGCTTTAAGGGGAAAACACTCGAAAACTGATACCAAGCCACGCATATCCAGTTTTCAATCGATGGCCGAACTTTACACTCACTTAATTTCATGCCGGCATTATTAATATTCGTGATTGGTCAATACGCGACTCCAGGAAATACCTCGCTGCAATTTGATCCATGGAAAAAGTCAAACAGAACCCAACCCAACCCATTCGTAGTTCCGGGGTTCTGTGTCTGTTTTCCACCCAAAATAAATTCATTTCATTTGCATTTGCTACCATTCACGTTAGCTGCTCCACAAAACAGAGAGGGAGAATGGGGGAGTGGGTGGGTGGGGCCAGTCCATCGAAGCGAAAAAGGGAAGAAGGGTAACACGACTATGGCGACACCTAGCCACGAGCATAAAGAAGCTGTTGAGGAGGTGCATGCTCGCATGCAAGTAGATATTGGCATGACAAAAGAGAACTACGAGTATATTGGCATAGAAAACGAGGATATAAAAGAGGAATCCGAACAAAGGTGGAATATATAAGGTGTAGATGGGAATGCTGTAGATTGGGAATACTAGAAAGGGGAATGTGGAATAAAATATATGATGCTCGTATCAAATATTTGCAAGATCTATTGTAGCCACCTCTGAAGCCTAAAAGAGTCACTTGGCTGTCATTTGCTCATCATAGGATAGGGTTTTCTTAGGGCCTTTCCTTTCCTTTCCTTTTACTTTTTGTTTGTTGCCCAATATACCCTGCCACTCGAAGCTGTCGAAGCCAGCAGCACTGCTAGAAAATGTCCATTTCCATGGATATTTATGCTTGCTTCGACTGGGGCTGGAGCTGGGGGCTGGGTCTGGGTCCATCTTTCGGCTTGGCTTGTTTCAATGTTGCTGTTGGGGCATTTTCGTTGAATAAATTGCTGTGGAAATGATGGGTGGCAATGCTAGCAGCATCTCCAAAATTGGGTTAAAATGCTCAAAGTTTCCACCAGTCTGGAGCGAGAGCAGAGCGAACTCCATATACAATGTATGTACATGTACTCGTAGTAGGTACTTAGGTACACCGTTGCATTCAGTTCAGTCAGTGGTCAATGGCCGGAGGAAAATGAGCAAAGGAAGTGCTCTGGGATCTGGCATCTGGGATCTGGCAGCTTTGAGATGTGGTTCATTGAATATGCGTTGCCAGTGGCACTGCTGCTTCAGCTTCTGCTGTGAAGCACTGCAGAAAAGGGTACGGCAGTGTGGGGCAGGGGCAGGGGCAGGGGCAGGGGCAGGGGCAGGGATGTGTGTTGCAACGAACAACCGTGTTAACCGCACGGACGTGGTAGCCCAACACCTGTTCCAGTGGCAGTGGCAGTGGCATGCAGCGAACACGACCGTTGCATGTTGCCATTGTAAATTAGTTGTCCTAGTTTGCAATTTGTTTCTGATTGCATTATTCATGCGTCATTCAAGCGGTGTGCGGTGCGGTGCGGTGCGGTGCGCTGTTGGGTGGCATGGCGCTGGGGCTGGTGCCGCTGCAATTACTTGACCCGCACCTAAACGGCCTAAGCCCCCGAACGGACATGGAGCACAAGCAGCAGCAGCAGCGGCAGCAGCGGCAGGTCTCTCACGTATCCGTTCTGTTCCGTTGCGGCTATCCATGCAAATTGATTCAAATTCAAATTCAAGTCGATTCGATTTCAATTAGTTATGAGGTTGTGCCACGTTTTTGGAGCACAGGCACAGGCACTAGAACAGGCACTAGAACAGGCACAGGCACAGGCCGGCACATCGTTAATCATCTGCCAATCAATACGGCAATGGAAATTGGAAATTGGAAATGGAAAATGGGAAGTGGGAAATGGGAAATTGGATACGGGGTCGTGTCCGTATTTAACTGAATTGCAAATTAAATGTTAATTATTTTCTATTATTGATACGTATCGAAAGTGGATTAGGTCAGTCCTCAGCCTCAGCCCCAGTCCCTTAGGTAATCATATTTTAAACTCAATTAGGACAGCATTTAAATTAAGCTGTTAGCTGTAAATATTAATCAGAGTCACTTAAGGTATGTACCCAGCCCACCCGATAGGATATATCCATCCTGTTGCATGCTAATGTTTGTTTTTGTTGCGTTGAATGTACTGCTAGCCTTAAGATCCTACAGATGCAGATATTTTAGATACAGATACTTAAATACATTTTGTGTGTGTGTGTGTGTGTGTGTGTGTCCTCTTAGTTGGATGCGATTGAGCTATTGCGTGGAGAAGAGCGGCAAGATACCGGTCAAGACGCTGGCCAAGACATTCGCCTCGGGCAAGACCGAGAAGCTGGTCTACACGTGCATCAAGGATGCGGGTCTGCCGGACGACAAGAACGCCACCATGACCATGGATCAGTTCACCTTCGACAAGTTCTATGCCCTGTACCACAAGGTCTGTCCCCGCAACGACATCGAGGAGCTCTTCACGTCCATGTAGGTGCCTCGAGCTGCCTTGGCATTAGATCATTGAATAATCTGCCTTCCTCCCTCCCTCCACTCCACCCATTGCAGTACCAAGGGTAAACAGGACTTCATCAGCATGGAGCAGTTCATACAGTTCATGAACGACAAGCAGAGGGATCCGCGCATGAACGAGATCCTCTTTCCGCTCTACGAGGAGAAGCGCTGCACGGAGATCATCAACGACTATGAGCTGGACGAAGAGAAGAAGAAAAGCGGCAAGTATTCCCATTCCCCCCATTCCTATTCCTATTCCTATTCCTATTCCTGTGCTAATCTAATGCTCCACATATGCAGCTCAACTTTCCCTTGACGGATTCAAGCGCTATCTGATGTCCGATGAGAATGCGCCCGTGTTTTTGGATCGGCTGGACTTCTACATGGAGATGGACCAGCCACTGGCCCACTACTACATCAACAGCTCGCATAACACCTACTTGTCCGGCCGACAGATCGGCGGCAAGAGCTCCGTGGAGATGTACCGCCAGACTCTGCTCGCTGGCTGTCGGTGTGTGGAACTCGACTGCTGGAATGGCAAGGGGGAGGACGAGGAGCCGATTGTCACCCACGGTCATGCCTACTGCACGGAAATTCTCTTCAAGGTAAGTGCCTCTCACATTTAAAAATACAAAAATGGGCAATTTGTCACCGTGTTGGCTTGCAGGACTGCATCCAGGCCATCGCGGATTGCGCCTTCGTCTCGTCCGAGTATCCGGTGATCCTGTCCTTCGAGAACCATTGCAACCGGGCCCAGCAGTACAAGCTGGCCAAATACTGTGATGACTTCTTTGGGGAGCTGCTGTTGAAGGAACCCCTCTCAGATCATCCGGTAAGTCCGCGCCACCAACCACCCTTCGCTGTACTGTTGTATACTGATGATATTCCTCTGCCGTCTGGCATCTTGTCACAGCTCGATCCGGGCCTGCCGTTGCCGCCGCCGTGCAAGCTGAAGAAAAAGATTCTCATCAAGAACAAGCGCATGAAGCCCGATGTGGAGAAGGTCGAGCTGGAGCTCTGGCTGAAGGGCGAGCTGAAGACCGATGATGATCCCGAGGAGGATGCCAGTGCCGGGAAGCCGCCAGAGGCAGCGGCCGCTCCCGCGCCAGCTCCCGAAGCGGCAGCCGCCGCCGATGGTGCTGCCGAGGGGGGTGGCGGTGCCGAGGCGGAGGCAGCGGCGGCCAACTACAGTGGCTCCACCACCAATGTACATCCCTGGCTCTCATCGATGGTCAATTATGCGCAGCCCATTAAGTTTCAGGGCTTCGATAAGGCAATTGGTAATCGAAATTTTATCGACTTTCATCGATTACATTAATTCATTCGGTACTTAGGTGTTCGTCTAGGATAGATGTAGGATCCGATAGATCTAAGGATATTTATAATCGAAATTTTATCGATATTTATCGATTCTGCGTTAAAGCACTTCGATTTAATGGGTTTACCTCCTGTTTAGATTATTCATCTAAATTAAAAATAGAAAACGAGCAAATTTTAATCGGAATTTCATCGATATTTCTCGACTATCGTAAAACTAGTAGTCAGTGGCAAACTCATTTAACATTTCGATACTCATGGGAGTAACTTGATCAGGTTTTTTTTGTTTCAGAATTAATACACACATGTACTGACCCCCGTTTTGTGCATCTTTCCACCCACAGAGAAGAACATTGCCCACAACATGTCCTCGTTTGCGGAATCGGCGGGCATGAACTACCTGAAGCAGAGCTCCATTGATTTCGTCAATTACAACAAGCGCCAGATGTCGCGCATCTATCCGAAGGGCACCCGGGCGGACTCCTCGAACTACATGCCGCAGGTGTTCTGGAATGCCGGCTGCCAGATGGTGTCGCTGAATTTCCAGACCTCCGATCTGCCCATGCAGCTGAATCAGGGCAAGTTCGAGTACAACGGCGGCTGCGGATACCTGCTGAAGCCGGACTTTATGCGGCGGGCGGACAAGGACTTCGATCCGTTCGCCGACGCCCCCGTGGACGGTGTGATCGCGGCCATGTGCTCGGTGAAGGTGATCGCCGGACAGTTCTTGTCGGACAAGAAGGTGGGCACCTACGTGGAGGTGGACATGTTCGGCCTGCCCTCGGACACCGTGAAGAAGGAGTTCCGCACCCGTCTGGTGCCCAACAACGGCTTGAATCCGGTCTACAACGAGGACCCGTTCGTGTTCCGCAAGGTGGTGCTGCCGGATCTGGCCGTGCTGCGGTTCGGCGTCTATGAGGAAAGTGGCAAGATGATCGGCCAGCGAATCCTGCCGCTGGACGGACTCCAGCCGGGCTATCGCCACGTGTCGCTGCGCACGGAGGCCAACTTCCCGATGTCGCTGCCGATGCTGTTTGTGAACATCGAATTGAAGATTTACGTACCTGATGGCTTTGAGGACTTCATGGCCATGCTGTCGGATCCGCGCGGCTTTGCCGGCGCTGCCAAGCAGCAGAACGAGCAGATGAAGGCCCTGGGCATCGAGGAGCAGAGCGGTGGGGCCGCCCGGGATGCCGGCAAGGCCAAGGAGGAGGAGAAGAAGGAGCCGCCATTGGTGTTTGAGCCGGTCACGCTGGAGTCGCTGCGCCAGGAGAAGGGCTTCCAGAAGGTGGGCAAGAAGCAGATCAAGGAGCTGGACACGCTGCGAAAGAAGCACGCCAAGGAGCGCACCTCCGTCCAGAAGACCCAGAACGCGGCCATCGACAAGCTGATCAAGGGCAAGAGCAAAGACGACATCCGCAACGATGCGAACATCAAGAACGCCATCAACGACCAGACCAAGCAGTGGACCGACATGATTGCCCGCCACCGCAAAGAGGAGTGGGACATGCTGCGCCAGCATGTGCAGGACTCGCAGGATGCCATGAAGGCCCTCATGCTGACCGTGCAGGCGGCCCAGATCAAGCAACTGGAGGATCGTCATGCCAGGTAGGCCCCTTTTGATAACTCTGCATTGCTCTTACTGCAACTTGCATTCTTTTTCGCTTCCGATCTGAAGGGATCTGAAGGAGCTTAATGCCAAGCAGGCCAAGACCTCGGCGGACACTGCCAAGGAGGTACAGAACGACAAGACACTCAAGACCAAGAACGAGAAGGATCGTCGACTGCGCGAGAAGCGTCAGAACAATGTCAAGCGCTTCATGGAGGAGAAGAAGGTATGTACATAAATGCGATGTGTGCGACTCCACACCTTCGATAGACACCTTGTGACACAAGCCATTGTCTCTCTCGTTATGCAGCAAATCGGCGTGAAGCAGGGACGCGCCATGGAGAAGTTGAAGCTGGCGCATTCGAAGCAGGTCGAGGAATTTGGTACCGATGTGCAAAAGGTACTGAACGAAACACGGCCCGAAGCCGACACTATAACCAGTATTGAGACTGTACTTTAGACAACTATACCTACCATACATGAATAGCTAGAGGGCGATCAACCATAAACGATAAACGATAAACGCTAAAATATAAACGATATACGATAAACGCTATAAGATATACGATACACATAAACGATTAAAAATAACCGAAATAGAAAAACTAAAACTGAAAACTAAAAACTAAAAGCAAGTCAAACCGAAACCGAAACCAATACAGAATCAAACAGAAAAAGAAATAAGAAAAGAAATGCATCCCTATTCGTATCGTATAGTGCAGTGCAACAGTGCTATATGAGAGAGTATGGGAGTATCGACTAGCGGCCCTGGGGATGCATCTTCCGATAACGAATACCAAATACCGATAACCAATGAACCACAGCCACACCACACCTCACCGAATCAAATCAAATTGAATCGAACCGAAAACCGATAACCGAAAACCCACAACCCAACCCAACTTGTATCTGAATCGTAATCGATCAGTAATCAGTCATAGTAGCTGCTAAACTTTCAAACTAACTGCTAAGATGTAATTATCTATACCAACTATTTCCTATACTCGTATATAGTAGTCGTATATATTATATGTCTATTGTAATTCATCGATTGCCTGTACCCTGTACCCAGTACCCAGTACCCAGTACCCTGTACCCTGCTGTACCCCCACCCACCCCTCCCACCATGCTATACTCTGTTTATTTTATTTTATTTCTGTTTGTGTTTATTAATTTTGCTTAAATTTATTTTTGGGCAATCGAGAAGATTGCCAAGTGATTCCAAATCCGCGTTGGGAATATCGATGATTTTTTAAGGATACATCCTTTGAAATCCCAGTGAATAATTACCATAGTATTTGGATGCTTATATGATCTTTGGTTCCAATTCCATATCTGTATTCATCAAGATAACAAGAATTTGCCATACTGTAATCTAATTTTACAAACAGAATGACGCCTGGGGGGAGCCGAACTCCCAGGCAGTGCCTCTGAGAAATCCGGCAACGCTGCCGCTGCCATCAGGGATTGCATTCCACACCACATCCGATCCAGCAGGAGTCCCGTTGGGTTTCTCATTCATTTCGATCAGAGTACTGCTATATTTTGTTTAGTTTGAACATTTTGTTGGATATGTGCTTTCCCTGTGTGCTTTTTAAATGCTTTTCAGTGTGTGTTTTTTTTTTTTGTGTCACTCTTTCTCGCTGTCTCTGTGTCACTACTACAAATATATACTCCATACGTATATATCCATATCCCCGATTTTCTGTCCATCCTGCCTAAGTTCACCTGTTAAAAAAGCTTAAAGAAAGTTTACCTTACTGTACCCTCAACTATCGAACTCCCTCTCTCTCTCTCTCTCTCTCTCTGTTTCTCTGTTTCTCTCTCTATCTATTTGTGTGAAGCGCCCCCCGATCTGCCACGCCCTGCTAAGCATTGTCATTTATCGTTTGCTGTGTCGCCCTAACATTATAATTAAAATAACCGAAAGCGAAACCTAACCAAATTCTCTTTCTCTCTCTCTCTCTCTCTTTCTTTATCTCTCTTTCTCCACACGCACACACATACACACGCACACTTGCATTCTCTTTTTCTCTTGCTTATGTTTTTTGTGCGGAAATTTTCTTTGAATTTTTTTTGTGACGCTGCCGCTGCAAAGCTAATGGATATGTACAAAATCGAGGAGGAGGCCTATAAGACGCAAGGAAAAACGGAATTTTATGCCTAAGTTATGGCCTGGGTCACAGGTCGCACGGGTCACAGGGCGTGGAGGAGAGGAGGAGAGCACCGACAGATACATACCAAAAAAAAAAATACAACAACAAAATATATAAATGATTACATGTGCATCGGCATCGGCATCGGCATTGGCATCGACTGATGAACCGATGTCCGATGTTAGATCTTGTAGTTATCGCTGAAGATTAAGATGAAATATGGAAGATGAAGCATACATACATAAATACATATATACTTATTTATATAATGTATTTACACACTTACACTAGCATCACACACACACACACACACACACACACACATGCATCTTGAAACGATTAAAATCCAATCTTATATATACATATATTTATATTTATATTATGTATGTATGTATATGTAGTATATGCATATGCCTTTAAGCATATATACTATATAAATACACGCATACATACATACTTATCAACTAGAATTCAAACTGGAAAGTCGAACACTTTGTGCTTTATATTTATTTAAGATCTTTATGGAGATGAAAATGAAATGGAATATGAACATCCGATAATGATGATTGATGATTAATGATTGAAGATGATGAAGGATTACATATGCAAAAATATACATATGTATTTTACTTAGGGGCAGGTGGGGGGAGGGGGGCCAGCAAGCAACAGCAACAGCAATTTGGGGCGAGGCTCCCCTCTCGAATTCAATGTAATTTATTTTTTTTTAACTATTTTTTTTTTTGAAATAACAAACGAAACCAAAAAAAAAGAAAAACATAAAACTTGATAGGTATTTTTGTGCTAGCCACACAATAACAGTACACCGATAAGTTTAGAATCCTCTCCCACCCCCTCCCACGCCCCCGCCCACTCACAATTCACAAAAGTCACACACAGATACGAGTGGTGCCCAGGGCATCATAGCCATGGGGAATCATGATTTATTATGACTATGGAATGCACTGTAAACTCTACACACATACACACACACACACTTAATCATCCAACAACAATAATCCCATATCCCTCCCAACAACTCAAACAAGAATACCAACCCACACCCAACCCCCGTCCCAACAATCGTACGTTTCAAGAGAACTACTTACATGAGTTTCCGATTCTCCACCTAATAGCTTAGCAAACTAATTAACCAGTAAGCCAGTAACCAGTGCAAAGCCCAGTGTAACCCCCCTCTCCACTCTTTAAAAACAAGAACCCAAGAACCCAGTAACACAGAGTAAATAGCAAAAATCAGCCCCCAAAATGAAGTGAGGCCAAGAAGTGAGGTCTGCTTTGGCATGGCAGTCGTCTCGAAGTCGGAACTCAGAACTCGAACTCTCGATTCAAAAATAGTTGGTTAAGTAAATGTTATAAAAACCTAAGTACTACGTACGTACATACATAAAAAAAAAAACAAACAAAGATATGTATGTAATTCAAACAATGAAACACCCCTACCGGATGATATACTATAAACACTCACCAGTACACACACACACACACACCAATACACATACAAATCTATATACATATGCATATGTATGAGGATTGATCAAGTTTTATGAATGTGATAAGCAGTTACATGTTATTACACGAAACGAAACGAAACGAAAGAAAACAAAAGGATGCAAGTAAAAGCAAGCAAACCTTTGAAAATGAAAGAAAGGGGAAACCCAAGCCCACGGCCCAAGTTCCTTTTAAATTTTTTCGGCCTTACCCAACACTAACACACTCCCCCTCCCCAACCAACTTGAACAGAAAACTTTCTTTCACTCACTCCACGTCCCCTAATCCTCATTCCCATTCCCCCACAGACGTTTGTCTGTTTGTGTTTTCGTTGAGAAAACGTTTGTAGAGCGAAAATCAAGCATTGGAGGAGGAGCAATGTGTGAAGGAAAAACGAATGCAAAGCTTTGTATGATATGTAATATAATGTGCCAATCCCAATGTTAACAAAAAACAAAAAAAAACAATTAAAAAAAAAAATTAAATGAAATGAAATGAACATCCTCCAACTGAAATTGCTAACTAATTGATTTATTTTTACTTATATGTACATTAGATAGAGGCCTAGCCTCTTAGTCGAAACACGTGAGATGATGTCCTAAAAATCCTGGCACACACACACACACACACACACACACACACATCTATATACAGTCCAGGCAGTTGGTGGGGAATGGGCTTTTTCGTCAAAGAACGAAAAGATGATTTAGGTACAGTACGTCCCGCAATTTAAATTTTTAAAATATGTTTTCAAGTTTAATAAAACGATATAAAGTCCGATATCATTTGAACTTCGCGCATACAGAGATGAGCTATTGCGATAGCGATAGGCGCTGTTTAACTGCACTCGCTCAAATGCTGAAAGGTATGAAACGAGAAACGAGAGTTCCGCCACTCTTATGTTTAGCATTTGCTATTTTTCGTGCTTATAACCACTTGAAAACCACCTTGTGGGCCTCTGTTCCTTTGGGTTTTACTGGTTGACCAATTATAATCTAGCATAGACTATATAGGATACATTTGTATATTCACTTGGTCGTAAGAGCACCTATTGATAAGCCGCTTATCAGGACGAATCGAGTATCGCTTCCTCCATCCAATTCAATTGGAGGGAAGATGCATAAATGAATGTCTTAAAATAAGGCCACGATCATTTCTGGGCTTCTAAGCTTATGTAGTATGCGCTGAAGAGGGAGAGAGAGAGAGAGAGAGAGCGAGAGCGAGAGCGAGCTCCATAAAGAAGAACGAAAGTTACGCAGAAAGTATTTGCAAGAGTTTAGCGAGTGGTGGGATCAATATTGAATACGATTACTCCATTACGAAACCATTTTACAATACCGTTTCCTGACATTCAAATCAAATACAACATACAATTACAATTCCATATACCATTTTATGGGTTCATTTTTTAAGGTTTAAAGTGCGCCCCCATGTGAAACGGTTAGAGCGGAGAATGGAAGAACGAAGAACACCCCCCGCCCATATAAATATTATTGTGACTACATAATGTTAGATCAATATTTTAACGAGATCCGAATGAGAACTTTAAGGAGAAAGAGGATGGATGTTGAGTTGTAGAAGTAGTTGAACAAAGAGCAAAGAAATTATATTAACTTATATTAACAATGCTGCGTATGAACTTATGATTATATACTATGAACTATATATTACACTATTACTGTTATGATTACCATTATTAGAACTATTCTGATTATGATTATGATTACCGATTATCAATCAAGCGAGCAATCGAGTCTAGAAACCGATTCCCAACACCACTCACCACCGCACTCGGATACTCGGATACTCGGATGATCGGATAATAAGAGTACGAATACGAGTATGTAATGCTAGGACGCAATATGATTTCGATTGATTTGTGTTCGGTTCGGTTCATCCCGTCTATCTCTCTGTCTGTCTGTCTATTGTTTGTCAATTGTCATTTCCGGGCTTGATGATGGGGCCGATACGAAGGCAACGCAACACGAAGCTCCCTCTACTAGGGCAATTATTTTCAATTTACTTAGTTGTAAGCGTCAGCCGACAATTCGTCCCTCCCTCCGCAACACCCACGACCATTCACAGTACTCTCTGCACACAAATTTCAGTTCTATTCTCCCAATCAGCACGATGTAAACACGATGTAAGCACGATAAACGAGTGCTCGTACATAGACAGTTTAGCTGTATCGATCACCACACTCCTTTCGTTGATAAGCAATGCGATTGATCCCCGAGAAAAACGAATAATATCTGCGCTACTAAATGTTAATATAGAAATTGTTCTTTAGAGCAAGAAAGAAAAAAAAAAACAAACAAACAAACTGGCGGAAAAGAAATAGCAAATACAATATGCATAGATGTTAAAACACACACAGACACACAGAAACACACACACACACACACACAGGCTATGCATTATGAACGTACATACATAAATACATACTATATACAGATAATACAATTAGATGAATTCTCGAATGCAATTTCATTTTTGTGTGCTATTTACGTTTGCTAATTTTTGTGAAACGAGCTAACTGCATAAGCATGCCCGTTACAATACAATTTAAACACAATTTAACCAAAGTTGTACAAAAAAATATACATAAAGTTGATGGGTGTTGGTGGTTAATAAATAAATCTTTAACTGAAAAGCATTGCTGGTTTTTTGCTTGAGGGTTCTTCGGCTCCGACTTGAATTTGGGGCCTTCGGTTGTTGCTTACTGCCGTGGCCACACCGTGTCCATTGCAGCAAGTGCGTCTGTCGCGGAATAGGTCTCGTGCCAATGGGAGCATAGGAGTTACATAATTATTTTCACAACGTTCAAAAAAGTTTCTTTGAATTTCCCGCCATGAGTAACTGCTGGCTGTCGCTCCGGGTGACAAAAAAGTCGTTGATATGTAGCAAATGTGTAGTTACCGTTTTTAATCTAAAAAAAAATATATATATATTTTGGTTGAGCTAATTTGATTAAACCTTATTTTATAAGCAATAAACACTTGTAATCGAATATCAAAATTGGGGAAATAAGTCGCCGGTGGATTTAAGGCATTTTTTGAAAATAACGGCAGTTTTTCACACGCCGCTTCCATGGCTGCCATACAAAATGTGTAGTTAGCGTGTAGTTACTATGTAAAAGCTGATGCTTTGCCATCAAAAGACAATTTGTTTAAACAAGTATTTTATGAATAATCAACTGGGAATGAGTACTGAAAATAACCAAATCTTTTAGGAAATTAATCAATTCATCGTATGAAATTATATGATCAGTGCTGAGGGCTCCAGTAATTAGTTAATACTAATCCGAACATCAAAATCGGGGAAATGGATCATTGATTAATGATTGGGTTTGATTGATTGGGTGGGCCCGTATTCTTCGGTATATTTATGGTATATTTTAAAAATGGGGAAAATATGTTTCGGTATATTTCTGAGCGTCATGCGGTATATTTTATGGATAAGTGCGCGGTCACACGAAGCAATTTATTTACTTATTCTGAATTTTTGTTATTTTTTATCTTGAACGCGACCAGGCAAAGCAAACCACTAGCAACCCAGCTAAAAGCAGCACATCGTTTGCCTGACTTGACTCGTATTTTTGTTGTTGTTCAGCTAGCGTGATATTTACATTGCAGAAGTGAAATTTCATTTTGTTTACGTTGGGCCAAAAGAAAAATCAAAGAAACAGGCAGAAAAGGAGAAGAAAAGTGAAAATTGTTCTTTGACGAAGCGAAACGGAGACGACGAATAAATGAGATGAGTGTGTGTGTGCCGTCGCGTACTTGAATCCGAATATCTGGTCCGATCTGTGGATCCACTGCGCTGCGCCCCCGCAGAAGCCATGCGAAAAGATGATATAAATTATTGTGTGCGTTTATTCCGCAATGGACGAGGCTTCTTTAACAATCTGTGATCTGTGATCTGTGAGTGGCGCTGCCAGAGAACGTCGCAAGTGGCTAAAAGGAGGACAAGTGGCAGACGAAGAACTAGATGTGGATGTGTGTGCCAGCCAGTAAGACAAGTTAACCGAGACACCTGACACTGACCCCCATCCCCCAACCAACCCGACAATCCACAAACACATCGTCATCGCCTCATCATGGCCATCAAAGACTTAGGCAGACAGTTGCTAATCACATTAATGCTCATCGGAGCCCTGCTTGGCCAGCAGTTGCCCCACAAAGAGACCAGCAGCAGCAGCGACCCCACTGCTCCCTCCTCCACAACCGCACCTGGACCGGCACGACCGCCGCCACGGGTGAAGCTCAACAAATGCTGCCATTTGGGCGAGTACCTCAATGGCACCACCCGCTCCTGCATAGCGGGCAACTCGGAGCTGTGGGTGCCCATGGTGTACCTAATACAGCAGCAGCGCTTCTTTGAGCCCATTGGATCCAGTCCGCGCTTCATGAAGTTCACCGCCCACGTGCGACCCGTCTGCCAAGAGCAGCAGCTGGAGCTGTTCAGCAGTAGGCTGGGCAATGTCTTCATTTTCCCCAATGGCACGCTGTCGGTGCGCGAACGCCTGATTCTGGTGGAGCCCCGAAACTATTGCGTCGATCGGGATGTGGCGCTGGTCTGCCTGGAGGCCTGGAGGCCCGCAGCAGCCACAGCAGGGAATCGAGAGAATGCACCCGCACCGGGAACCGAAGCGGCAACCGCGTCCCTGGTGACGCCGCCTGCCACGCTGCGCATGCGCAAATGCTGCGGCAAGTGGGGCAGCTACGACACCAGCCTCAAGACCTGCAACCTGCAGCCCAGCCCCCCCACCGACGGTCAGCTACGGCTGGGCCCGAAACTACCTGAGGGCAGCTATCAGACCAGCTACGGCCTGCCCGAGTGCGTGGGCACCACTGCAAATGCAAATGCACATCCGAATGTCGGCTATGCCATTGCCGGCGACTGGCGCGATGCCCAGCTTAATCGCTCCTCGGGCGAGATCCGGCTGTCGCATCACACCAATCTCAGTGCCAGCCAGTACTGCCTGGAGCACACGCAACGCGAGGGAGAGGTGAAGATCATTGCCTGTTCGCATCACTTCTCGCACGCCACGCACGGCGACGGTCCGGATGGGGACTCCAGCGGACTGGACGAGGATGGCCAGAGCTCGGGTATGCGGCTGCAGAAGGCCGTACTCACCGGCGGCATTCTGATCTCGGTGGTGTTCCTGGCGGCCACACTGGTGGCCGGCTTTCTGCTACCCGCCGTCCATCATGCCCTGCACTGGCGCTGCCAGATCTGCTACGTCTTCTGCCTGCTGGTGGGCAAGGTGCTGCTGGCCATCGAGGAGCTAAACACCTCGCTGATGCCGGGCTCCGTGGCCTGTCTGCTGCTGGCCGTTGGCATGCAGTTCTTCTTCCTGTCGGCCTTCTTCTGGCTGAACACGATGTGCTTCAATATCTGGTGGACGTTCCGCGACTTTCGACCGAGCTCCCTCGAACGGAATCAGGAGGCGCTGCGACTGCTCCTCTATTCCGTGTACGCCTGGGGCGTGCCTCTGCTGATCTCAACGATAGCCGCCTGTGTGGACCAGCTGCCGGAGACGACGCTGCTGCGGCCGGGCTTCGGGCAGCTCTACTGCTGGTTCGACAATCGATCGGTGTCCATTTTTGCCTACTTTTACGGCCCCATTGGGCTGCTGCTCTGCGCCAATATTGCCCTGTTCATCTCCACCACCCACCAGCTGACGTGCGGCCTGTGGAAGCGGGACGATGTCAAGTCGTCCACGGAAAAGTCGGCCCTCGGCAAGGTCTGCCTCAAGCTGGTCGTCGTGATGGGCGTCACATGGATAGCGGACATCATGTCGTGGCTGGTGGGCGGGCCCCATGGCGCCTGGTTCGTCACCGATCTGATCAATGCCCTACAGGGTGTCTTCATATTCATTGTGGTCGGATGCCAGCCGCAGGTGTGGACCGCCTGCAGGCGCATCTGCTGTCCACGGCTCCGGCACGACATCACCAACACCACCAATGGAGTCCAGCACTCGAGCAGCTCCCAGGGTCTGCCCTCGATGGCCGGCTGTGGTACAGAGTTCACGCAAAACACCACAATGCAGAGCTCGGCGCCCAGCAGTGTGTCCCCAACAGTGCCTGATGCCACCACAACCCCACCAACGACGACGACGACAGCGGCAACACCTCCGCCCACTGCAAAGATGGAAACCGTTTGCTAAAGGTAAGTGCAGCGACCGATAAGCGACAGATAAAAACAAACAACAACAAAAATAGGGGGAGATTTTCGGAGGTGCAAACAGAGGTACATTCAGGCTATGTACATATGCGAGTACATGCTGATGGGATTTTCTCCATTCTCTCCAGCTTCCTATTGACTCAAAATGTGAGTTTGAACAACTTAAATGGATAATCCGCTTAAACTTTACATCAAAAGAGGGAAGAGCCATGCTATAGTGGCATCGGTTTTGGATCCTTTGAAATACCAATCCCTGCATTCCCCACCATTGCTAATCCCGATCCTTATGGAAGATAATCCAACCATGCTGCACAATCAATTAACTGAATTAAATAGGAGCCAATCAGGCTTCTACTTTATTAGAATAATATACATACCGCCTACACGATTATTCACCGATTATGCCCTCCCTCCATCGGGCATCACATGTGCCACGATCGCCCTGCAATTCCTGGATGAGATTCGCATACGATTTACCCAGATATATTCTCTCAGCATGCAGCACAGCACGGCAGACTGCAGAGAGCGGCGCCTGCCAGAGAAAAAGTCCAACACGTTTTCTTTGTCATTCATTCTTTTTGTATTTGTTTTTGTTTTGGGTTTTATTATTCCTTTTGGGAAACCTACTATTGCGCCAGGGTTCTCCTTGGCCTGCCATTTCCCTGCATTCCCTACATTCCCTGCACTCTTGACTGGCTGCTTTACAACCATGCGCCAAGTTTACGATTTAGCGTCGTTTTTGTGCACTTGAGAAATGGACATAAAATGAAAATGTAGCCACGTTTTGTTCGGTGGAAATGTTGAAAAGACGAACAGGCAAACAGCGATTGGGTCAGAGTTTTTAGTTCAGGTTCCCAGTTTCCTGTAGATTTCCACATGGCCATAAAATAATAAAATAATCAACGCGCAACCCTTGACACACACATAGCCACAGGCACAGGGCACATTGAGATAGTGCCCAGTGTGTATCTGCATCTGGAGGAAAGGGAAAATTGAAAATTGAGTTTAAATTGGACTCACCGGCGGCGACGGCAGCGACAGCAGCGACGGCGGGCGACGAACACGTGATAAGCAACGCTTCGGCCGCCGCCTCAAGTGGTCTTGACACATCGCAAATGAGCCAAAGTAAACGCCATCCATTCCATTCCATCCCATTCCATCCCAGTATTAAGAGGTAAGGGTATTTTTGGGTTCGTTCAGATCCACATTTGGAAGATACTCAAAAAAGAGCTGAAGCAACCATATTTGGCTGGAGACTGCTAGAACGCACTACAGGAACCACATGTTTCCAAGATACTATAAATTCTGGAGAAATTACCTTTTGCAGATAGTCGGGTAGTACTATCATAAAAAACCAACCAGAAAAACAACACGTTTTGCAGAGACTATAAAAAATACTTGAGAAAGAACATATTGCCAGCAGGGACTATGTAAGAGCCATAGCAACAACACAGACATTTTGCGGATAAATAAAAAAAAAACACATGTTAAAAGCCAGCGAAACCACAATTGGGGGAAATATTTTCAAGGAGCTAGGGAAACTATAATTTGGGAAAGACTATAATGGTCTGGATTTCCACTACACTTCATGACCTTTCTAGCCCGAAAGACAGAGACAGCATGAGACAAATTTCTAAATTAGTGTTGGTAACCGTCACCACAGTGGCATCAGTCAAAGAGCTGCGGCACTTTTTGCGCCAGAACGATATTTTCCAACACCCACAGCTTGTAATGGAAAATATGCATACATATATCAATCAAATTAAATAAGAATCTGATGAATATATCGAACATAAGCCTTAGGGCTAAGCCCTTCTTTCTGGAGAGTATAAATTTCAACCGAGAGGGTATGGGAAAGTCTTTATACCCTTTATGCGTTCTCATAATGTGTGTTGCCTCTTATTTTTGTTGTTTTTCTCGTCTCACGTCACTTTTTTGTGATCTGGCTTTAAGAAACAGATGCCAATGCCGTCCGTCGATGACAGTGTGTCCGTATCGCGCTGAGGTTTTGCCCCGGTCGAAAGAGAAAACAAAACAAACAAAACAGACGGACGTTGGGTTTTTGGGCCCATGGGCCCATTTAGAGGGGATTATGCAATCGAATAATTCGGACAAAAGTCCCTCAAAACGGTGGCTCACGCTGCTCTGCTGATGCTGTGACCTGACGCCCAGACCAAAGTGGCTCTCAAACTGTATACTGCGCTTACCCTTGCACGCAGGCATGTGTATGTGCATGTGTATTGTGCGTGCGTGTGGAAATTGCAGCTGCTATGCAATTTCTTTTCTTTTGCATAATCCCCGGGCAACGTGTCCCCGTCACGCTCATTCCAGCCCCGGCCCAGCCACGGCCCTCGTGGTCCACATTGGAATTGCTGAATCGCTTCCAACAGAGTTTGCTAGGGCGGCAGGATGCGCAGGGAAAAGAGAAAGCAATAGCATGCAGCTGAATAACAGGGTGTGGGGGCAGCGCATCGTTTGACACACACAGAAGTGCTGTGTGTGTGTGTTTGTGTGTGTGTGTGCCTAATGAATTCTTTCCTGTTTCAATTTCTACAAATTATCAAAAAATTGCATAAAAGTGCATACGCACATATGTATGTATGTACATATATATACATATGTACATGCCTCCCATTAATTATGTTTAGCGGCAATTTTTAATTTGAACGTTCTGCAGTTTTTTTTTCAAGTTATAATTGCAATGTGGCCCATTTAAATTTTACGCAAAGGCATTATTTTTTTTTAATTTGCGGCTCCAACGTCGCGGTGGCGGTCGCCGTCATCTGATTCCGGCAGAGTGAGAAGGAGACAGACGACGCATTATTGTATATGTGCACATATAGACACACATACATACTTGTAATTGGATTTGTATTTATATTTGCCCTTTTTTCTTTCTTTCATATTTCTCTTGCAGTCAACTGCAGACGAGGCGACAATGCAAAAGTAAGCCCCCCCACCCCATCCCTCCACACGAAAATAATGGCAATGGAGCTGGGGGACTGGAGTATCCGAGGCACACTTGCGCAATAGCAGCAACAGCAGCAGCAGCAACAGCGTAACCAACATTCAAGCACGCGCATTGACCGGCCCAGCTAATTGTCTATGTGTTTGAGAGTGTGTGTAAAAGTGAGTGTATGTGTGTGACCGTCTTGCGCGTGATTTTGAAATCAGCCAACAAAGGGAAGCAGAAGCGGCCAGCGGCAGCGGACAATGGCCGGCAGTAATTCAGTATTCGTATTCAACTTCAATCTTCAATTTGAGCTAAACACAATAGAAATGTGAGAGAGTATTTTATTCATATACATATATGTATGTATGTAACTTGAGCACAACATAACGGTAGGTTAGATGGGGGATAGCAGGGCAGGACAGGGTCAGATTAACACGTTTTAATTGAATTGAGCCCAGACCTGGGTAAGTGTTGCAAAACGCAGTTGAGTATATGTACATACATCCAAACATACATATGTATGTATGTATGTTCAAATACCGCAAACAGGAATGCACAATAGACAAAGCAGTGCTATTGTTAATGATTGGGGTTTTCTTCTCCTTCTACTCGTTCCAGGGAGAGAGATTTTCCAATAGAACTTGGACAGCTGCCGCTGCCACTGCTGCTGAATGCAGCGCACAACCACAAGGAATTTATTGTTGAGGCATTTTTGTTGTATTCTCGTGATATTCTGCTTTGGCTTCTCTAGCCTAACAAAAATCTCAAGTGTGAGAAAACCAGCAGCCGCCAGCAGATAGAACAAACAAACACACACACACACACCCATATAAAGATACATGCACACATTTAGATTGTTTAACATTTAAATTAGTCGTTTCTGGATGCTGGGCTCTGGTTTGAATTTGGATTCCCATTTCGATTCCCATTGAGAAGATTACACCAAAAAAAAAGCTGCTGGCATTTGATTTAGACGTGCTGCGTCACACGTACCCGCTTCCTCTCTTGCTGTCCATCTCACCCTCTCTCACTCTGTCAGAGACCTGTGTGTCGTATTAGATACGTATGTGTGTGTGTGTGTGTGCTATTCGGCATTGCTCAATAGTTTGATTCTTGCATTCTTTTACAATCTTCCAAGTGGATTCTGACACTATATGTGTTGTGTGGCAGAAAATCTGTTTTAAATTAAACATTTTTTTTTTCTTTGAGTTCGTTTGTTTTTTGTAAACTAAACAAACGGGAATTTATTTACTCGCGCAGTATAAACAAACACACAGACATACAAATAGGTGCATGTGTGTATGTCTGATTGTTTCTTTAACAGTTTTTTTTTCTTCGGTACAAAGACACAGCACGCACGCTTAATCAAATTTATCATCAAAAGTTCAACGATACTGATTAATCAAGGTTAGATGGGAGAGAAAAAAGTGGGCGCAGCAGATGCCAAAAAGGAAAGCGCGTTTAATTAAACAATGATCGGCCCGGCCCGGCCCATCCATCACACACGCACTCACACACGTGCACACACTCTATAATCGATCGCATTTTTCCGTTAGGTTTTTTGGGCGGCCTGCTATCGTATCCTTTTGAGGCGCCCAATTCAAAATGTATTCAGCTCCCTTCCCGCACGTATTTTTTTATGTTTTAAATCCCTGAAAACACAGAACTAAAAGCAGTACAATTATTATTTTTTCTATTATTTTTGTTTTTAATTTAATTTAATCCATTTTTTTTCCATTAATTAATTGTAATTTATTTCTGAATTTGTGCATACAATATTTAGTTGGCGCGTCTAACGTGCGTAATTATCGAATACATACTATAATATCGAATAGCGTAGGCACGCATGTATTATGTAATAGAACTTCCAAAGTGTTCAGGCCAAAAGTTAATTTCCCCCCACATAAGCGTGGATATATCCATATCCACATCCCTATACCCTCTATACATACCCCTATATTGTACACATACTTTTAAAATTCAATTGTTTATATGTTTAATTGTACATACCTACTAAACGAGAAAATATGTCTTCTTTTAAATGTATTTAAGTATTTTGGATCAAAACAACGAATCGAACTTGAAATTATGATTATAATATCCAATGACTGATAAAGGCAGCGAATACTTTATATCTAGACCATATTTTTGATACTAACGACTATTTACTATAAGCATATCCTATACTAGCCTATTGACTAGCCTAAGACTAGCCTGACATAATTATTATCATTATTTTTTTTTTTAATATTGTACGCATCGCATACCCTGCCCTGATATATCTCCACATATGTATATCTATGTTACTCGAATCCCTGTAACCTGTAACCCAACAACGAATGAATATCTAGATCGATGCTAAGTCTTAACGATAAAATGTTATTAACTAAAACACACGCAAACAAGTCTGCACACAAAAATTATTTAAAAAATTTTCCCCCCAGAGAGCGAAAAAAAGGAAGAGTATTTCAACGATAATTATCATATAATGTATGGCCATTCATAAGGAATATATCAATAATTATTTGCTTTTGGAGGCGTGCGACTGGCCTCTTCCCTACCCTTCCCCTTCCCTTCTCCACCCCTCTTTTGTTCTATTAATTTATGGCCCACAGAGAGAACATTTTTATAGATAAACATGCGGAACGAAATTGTCTGAAATGGCAATTAAATGAAACCGAAACTGAAACTGAAAAACTCGCCAGAACTTGGCATCCATGTGCAGCTATATAGGGGGATAGATATATCAAGCAAATATATTACAGTACATACGCGTATGTACACATACTCGTATACATTATATATACATACATATGTACGTACATATCTGCATATGTATGTATGTGCTAACATCCAAATGATGTTTGCAATTGTCATTGACTAAAAACAACAACTAAACTATTTATACTTATCGTACAATAAAGCTTTTTGGCAAATATCAATGAAACCGAACAGAACTAAATTAACCACGAAAGCGTCTTTCAATTGTCCGGATCGCCAGGGATCGAGTGTACCGCGAGTTCCTCTGCGCTCTTCCCTCTGCCTACTACTCACATCAGATCGCTTAAGCCTTTCCCACAATGAGGCTAAGCCAGCCACACACAACCCGACATACCCGACCACGTCTTCTATTGCCCTACTCCAGCGGTTTGTCAACTCTTACTCTTTTGTATGCAAATGAGCGCACCGGCACAGTGGGAGCTCAAAGCGAATTATAATGCAGAAATTAATGGCGATCTTTACTTTTTGCTTCTCCATTTGTCCATTTGGCCATACTGTCTGAACGTAACTTAGAGCCTCTTAGGTCATTCGGTGAAGCGGCGGAAGCTACTCTAAAATTGATTCTGATATAATATTTGGACTGATTCGTGTACAAATGTGCCCAGGTGATTTCCCATTTAATTCCACAGTGCGCAGGTGTGGCTTTTATTTACAGTTTGTGGTGTAATTAACCTTTAAAGGCAGTGTGAAAAAAAGAGCAAAAACCGGTTGAGCATTTCAAATGCGCCGGCATTTAATAAGTTTTTGCATCTCTATATATAACGAAACACCTCACGCAAGACAATGGAATTCGAAAAATTGCAACAATTGGCAAACAGATTTAAATTCAAAAGTAACGCGCCAAGAAGCGCTGCCAGATCGTTACCTAATAAGCGTTGACAGCTCAGACCAGACAGTTGGAAAAGAGTGAACAGATGGCGCCACTGTGGAAAAATCTATTATTAATCGATGTATCGCTTTTTGAAATGCTATTGATAAATCAAAATGCAAATCAAAAAACTTTTTTTAAATATATTTCGATTCTACGAATGTATTGTTTTGCTTTGTTTTGTTTAACGAGATTGCCAATCCTATATATATATGCAATATATTGCATGTTATACAATTAAATTGGTAACCTCAATACTAAGTCTTGCAGTTAGCATTGCATATACGAGCTTAGCAGTGATTATACATCTCATATAGGTGGGGAACATTAACAATTGAGTGCAATTAGATAATTAATATTTAACGTTTTTAAAATTTGAATCTTATACGTTACGCAGCGTGCTGTTAGGCGCACAATCGTACTGTTAAAGAGGTATTATCGATCATTGCACATCTCTAAGCGTGTCAAAAACTATTTTTTTTTGCGAAAACATTTGGCTAAACGGCGATATTGATCATAAACAAATCTCATGCGTGGGCGTTCCTAAAGAAACCGCGCTCAACTCCGCTCTTGGTCAATCGAGGCCCACAAACGAAGCGAACGAAAGACGCAAACGACGTCCGAAGCGAAACGAACCGGCAAACGGCTACCCAACCAGGTTCACCCCATGCGCGAGACAGAGAGGGAAATAGAGGAATCTTCGCAGCTCACGAAAAAGTCATCAATTATATTTAGGCCATGAAGAATGTGCTGATGGTGGCGGAGAAGCCCTCGCTGGCCGCCTCCCTGGCCACGATCCTCTCCAACGGACGCTGTACGGTGAAAAGAGGTTCGTAAGCGAAATTTATCCGGATGTCGCCCGGACCGGCTAATGCTCATAACGTTTTTGGTGTGTGTTTCCAGGGACTGGCAATGGCTGCTCCACCCACGAGTGGACCGGCACCTTCCGCAACGAGGGCGCCGTCCATTTTCGCATGACGTCGGTGTGCGGCCATGTGATGTCATTGGATTTCACTAGCAAATACAACTCCTGGGACAAGGTGGACCCCGTGGAGCTCTTCGGTTGTCCCACCGAGAAGAAGGAGACCAGCCCCAAGCAGCATATGCGCACGTTCCTGGCGCACGAGGCACGCGGCTGCGACTATCTGGTCCTCTGGCTCGATTGCGACAAGGAGGGCGAGAACATTTGTTTTGAGGTGATGGATGCTGTCCAGGGTGTCATTAGTAACGTGTATAGCAAGCAGGTTACATATCGGGCTCACTTCTCGGCCATCACCGACAAGGATATCAAGGGGGCCATGGAGACGCTGGGCCATCCCAACGAGAACGAGGCCAAGTCTGTGGATGCCCGCCAGGAGCTGGATCTGCGCATCGGCTGTGCCTTTACCCGGTTCCAAACGAAGTTCTTCCAGGATCGCTACGGCGACCTGGACTCTCACTCATCTCATACGGCCCCTGTCAGACGCCCACCTTGGGCTTTTGTGTGAAGCGGCACGACGATATACAGACCTTTAAGCCGGAGAGCTTTTGGTACTTGCAGATGCTCGCCGGCCAGCCGGAGTTTACGCTGGAGTGGGGCCGTGGACGCGTTTTCAAGAAGGACATTGCCATCATGCTGCTGAATCGCGTCAAGGAGCACAAGGAGGCCACGTAAGAGAGCAATCAGTTATCGTTATCCCTATATATATCACTATCCTTTCATTATTTTCTTCCCACTACCCCAGCGTGGAGAGCGTCAGCAGTAAGGAGGCGTTCAAGAGCAAACCGCTAGCCCTCAACACCGTCGAACTAATGCGAATCTGTAGCTCGGGCCTGGGCATTGGTCCGTTCCAGGCGATGCAAATAGCCGAGCGTCTGTACACCCAGGGATATGTCAGTTATCCACGCACGGAGACCAACCAGTATCCGGAGAACTTTGATTTGCCCGCAGTGCTGCGTGTGCTGCAGCCATCCGGGGACTTTGGGGATGAGGCCCGCTTGATTCTGGGTGACATCCAGGCGCCGCGCAAGGGCAAAGATGCCGGCGACCATCCACCGATCACGCCCATGAAGCTGGCCAACAGCAGCGACTTTGATCGCGACACCTGGCGTGTCTACGAGTACATCTGTCGCCATTTCATGGGCACCTTGTCGCGGGACCTGAAGTACCGCACGACAACGGCCAAGCTAAAGGTGGGCATCGAGACGTTTTCGTGCACCGCCAATGTTCTGCTCGATCAGGGCTACACCAAGGTGATGACCTGGCTGGCCTTTGGACGCGACGAACCGATGCCGCCCTTCGTCCAGGGCACCCAGGTGGCCATCAACGATGTCCGACTGGCCGAGAGTCAAACGGGTCCGCCCGACTATCTGACCGAAGCAGAGCTGATCACCCTCATGGAGCAGCACGGTATCGGTACGGATGCCTCCATACCGGTGCACATTAATAACATTTGCCAGCGCAATTATGTGAAAATCGAGAACGGTCGCAAGCTGATACCGACAACGCTGGGGACTGTGCTGGTCCATGGCTATACGAAGATCGATCCGGAGCTAGTGCTGCCGACTATGCGCTCGGAGGTGGAACGCATGCTGACGCTGATTGCCAAGGGTTCGGCCGACTTTCAGGATGTGCTGCGGCATGCAATCACCATATTCAAGCTCAAGTTTATGTATTATGTGAAGAATATTGCCAGCATGGATGCCCTCTTTGAGGTGTCCTTCTCGCCGCTGGCCGAGTCGGGGAAGGCGCATTCACGATGCGGCAAATGTCGTCGCTACATGAAGTACATTCAGGTGGGTTCAGTCCTGCCTGTCGACTCTACAATATATAATCCTGCTACTTCTCTGTCTCTACCTTCCATCAGACGAAACCCGCTCGCCTGCATTGCTCGACCTGCGATGAGACCTACTCTCTGCCCAATGGCAATGTGAAGGTGTATCGCGAGTTCAAGTGCCCGCTGGATGACTTCGAGCTGCTGGCCTTCTCGACGGGCGTCAAGGGGAAGTCGTTCCCCTTTTGCCCCTACTGCTACAACCATCCGCCGTTTAGCGATATGCCATCTCTGGGTGGGTGTAACACCTGCACCCATGCCACCTGTCCCCACTCCCTCAACACGCTGGGCATTTCAGGGTGCGTGGAATGCCCCACTGGCATCCTTGTACTGGACAGCACCCTGGCCCCCACCTGGAAGTTGGGCTGCAATCGCTGCGACGTGATCATCAATTGCTTCAAGGGAGCCACAAAGATCACAGTGGAAGGTGGGTCTCTACGGCAAGCTCTCGTTATGCCCAGCCTCACATCTATCTCTTTTCTTGCAGAGGCCAAGTGCCAGGAGTGCGGCGCCCAGCAGGTCAATGTCGTGTACAAATCGGACAAGTCAAAGTTCAAGGATGGCACCGAGGAGAAGATCGGCTGCGTCTTCTGTTCCAGCGACTTCTCCCATCTGGTGGAGAAGCATCGGGCTGTGGCTTCCAGGCCCGTGCGCAGCGGCGGGCCGCGTGGTGGCAAGGGTGGGCGCGGTGGTGCCGCCGGTGCACCTGGGGTTGTTGCTGCTGGCGGGGAAGCGGCTGCTGGCGGCAGAGGTGGGGGTGGTGGGCGCGGCGGACGGGGCCGTGGACCACCCAAGGACAAGATGGCCCAACTGGCGGCGTATTTCGTTTAAGTGGATCGATCATCTGTGGGAACAGAGCATCGAAACGGAAGGGGGGGCTCTAGATTGCATTTACCACAAAAGAAATCCGAATAAAAGAAGCGAAATTTGTATACATTAATGGCAATTCAAGGCACAGTTAAGCTTACGATTGGGTTGCATGGGGTTTCATCAGCCTGGAAGCTGGTTTGGTACCCTGGAACTTTCCAGATGCAGTTAGTCACACACAGACACAGGCGCATTATTGATTATAGTGTGTGCTATGGGGAAATGGCCGTCTGCTTATAGAGATATGTATGTATGTATGTATTTGTATGTGTGGTTATTATCTCTGAGGCTGTTGACCAAAGCGAAGACAAATCCTCCCATGCGGCGTCAAAACAGACAAAGGTCATTTAACTCGCCAAACAAAGACGCGTCATCAGATGTACATATCAGCTAATACAAGGAAATATAGAAATAAAAACTACATATACATACATATTTTCACAAGCACAGATGCACGCGCATCAGCCAGCTGTCATTCTTAGGGCAGTGTTGGTAAACACCAACAGTGGTGTGAGCGAGACAGTTAGACTGCGTTGATGCACAACGCATTTAATTTGAAATGGCCATTACGACAAATTTAGCAAAACAATTGAATTATTCTTCATCTCACACAAAGGTCTAGAAAAAAAAAAACTTTTCGATCATATTTTCATGCAACCCAAAGGTCCAGGAATAGCCAAACAACGCATAAGCAAAAGACTAAATTACCTGAGAGTGAGCGAGCTAGCACGACTCAGGTTCGTTTTTGCTCCCCTGTATAAATACGACTGACTCGACAAGAAACGGTTCAATCGCTGTGAAAATTTTGAGGAGCACGCAAACCCCAAGCAAGTTTTTGTAATTGTATCAAAAAGTGCAAGACTATTAATTAAAAGAAATATAAAGCAAATTTATTTATTCATACAAATTGTGCTGCAAACGTAAATTAGGTAAGTAAAGCAATATGAAAAAGTAGAAAATCGATTTTTTTTTGGGTTTCTTTTCGTTCTTTTGTTCAACTGCAAAACAAAATGGCCCCGCAGCCAGAATAAAAAGTGCAGCAAAGAAAAAAATAAAGTTTTATGCCCCTGTTGTTCATTACTGTGTGTGCATGTACGCCCTATGGGGGCGTCTGTTTTGTAGTTAGATTAGTCATTCTTGGAAATTATACATTATTGTGAAATCACTTATTATCGAGAAAAAGTAAAAAAAAAAAGGGAAAGGTGTTTGTGTGTGTATACCAGACGACATTTTGTTGAGTAAACGGTAAATTGGGTCACGACGCAGAAAAACTAACTGCGCCATTGCACAGAAATACATGCATACGTATGTATGTATCTATGCATTTATACACAGACATACAGCTACAATTTTCTTTTTTCTATTTCTTGCACACATTTAGCCAACATGCAGATCTTCGTGAAGACCCTGACTGGCAAGACCATAACCCTCGAGGTCGAGCCCTCGGACACCATCGAGAATGTCAAGGCTAAGATCCAGGACAAGGAGGGCATTCCCCCAGATCAGCAGCGTTTGATTTTCGCCGGCAAGCAGCTGGAGGACGGACGTACTTTGTCCGACTACAACATCCAGAAGGAGTCGACTTTGCATTTGGTGCTCCGCCTGCGCGGTGGCATGCAGATCTTCGTGAAGACCCTGACTGGCAAGACCATCACCCTCGAGGTCGGCCTCGGACACCATCGAAGGCTAGTCCAGAGGGCTCCCCAGTCAGCAGCGTTTGATTTTGCCGGCAAGCAGCTGGGGACGGACGTACTTTGTCCGACTACAACATCCAGAGGGTCGACTTGATTTGGTGCTCCGCCTCGCGGTGGCATGCAGTCTTCGTGAAGACCCTACTGGCAACCCCGTCCGGCCTTCGCCCTCCCCCTGGGACACCCCGGGCTGCAGATCCGTACCCCGCAAGACCACACCCTCGAGGTCGAGCCCTCGGACACCATCGAGAATGTCAAGGCTAAGATCCAGGACAAGGAGGGCATTCCCCCAGATCAGCAGCGTTTGATTTTCGCCGGCAAGCAGCTGGAGGACGGACGTACTTTGTCCGACTACAACATCCAGAAGGAGTCGACTTTGCATTTGGTGCTCCGCCTGCGCGGTGGCATGCAGATCTTCGTGAAGACCCTGACTGGCAAGACCATCACCCTCGAGGTCGAGCCCTCGGACACCATCGAGAATGTCAAGGCTAAGATCCAGGACAAGGAGGGCATTCCCCCAGATCAGCAGCGTTTGATCTTTGCCGGCAAGCAGCTGGAGGACGGACGTACTTTGTCCGACTACAACATCCAGAAGGAGTCGACTTTGCATTTGGTGCTCCGCCTGCGCGGTGGCATGCAGATCTTCGTGAAGACCCTGACTGGCAAGACCATCACCCTCGAGGTCGAGCCCTCGGACACCATCGAGAATGTCAAGGCTAAGATCCAGGACAAGGAGGGCATTCCCCCAGATCAGCAGCGTTTGATCTTTGCCGGCAAGCAGCTGGAGGACGGACGTACTTTGTCCGACTACAACATCCAGAAGGAGTCGACTTTGCATTTGGTGCTCCGCCTGCGCGGTGGCATGCAGATCTTCGTGAAGACCCTGACTGGCAAGACCATCACCCTCGAGGTCGAGCCCTCGGACACCATCGAGAATGTCAAGGCTAAGATCAGGCAAGGCTAGCCCGCTCCCTCACCCGGGGTCCTGCTTTGGTGCTCCGTGCTGGGGTCCCCCTGCTGGAGACCATCACGTGAGGTCGGACAAGGGGGGCAATCCCCCAGATCAGCAGCGTTTGATCTTTGCCGGCAAGCAGCTGGAGGACGGACGTACTTTGTCCGACTACAACATCCAGAAGGAGTCGACTTTGCATTTGGTGCTCCGCCTGCGCGGTGGCATGCAGATCTTCGTGAAGACCCTGACTGGCAAGACCATCACCTTGGAGGTCGAGCCCTCGGACACCATCGAGAATGTCAAGGCTAAGATCCAGGACAAGGAGGGCATTCCCCCAGATCAGCAGCGTTTGATCTTTGCCGGCAAGCAGCTGGAGGACGGACGTACTTTGTCCGACTACAACATCCAGAAGGAGTCGACTTTGCATTTGGTATTGCGTCTTCGCGGTGGCGCTCTTTAAATATTCTCAGCGTAATCTCAAAAATATGATCTTTTATTCTTGTAGTTTATGTTATTGGCTTTGCAACAGTAAAAAATGTATTCTGTATTAGTAATATCCACCAAATTAAAACATTTTAAATCTGTGTGTTCAAGAGTAAGATTCTGATGTTATTTTTTAGCGGGTAGCATTGGTGGGGGTTTGGGAAGTAGGCATGGACAATTTTTCCACAGTTCTACAGTCTGGAGTCGACATCGGCCCACTTTGTTTGAGGTGGCGGTGGGCGTTGCAGCCTTGCAATTGATTATCGACTTGCGCAATTTCAGTCGAGGGCTGAATAATTGAAGGTTTGGTTATGACATTAGACTTTTATGTTTTCCAGCAGAACACCAAGCCAGCAAAATTATATCCGCAAAGTAAATCAATCTACTAAATCCCAGAAAAACTGGAATGAAAGCTGGACGCATATACTTTCTCTCGCTCTGACGGCAGGCATTTCCCATAAGGCCATCTCTATTTTCCAGCTAGTCAGTTGGCAAAGTCTAGTCATTAGACTCTAATGTCATAACACCTTAACGCATTGAAGCTTTATTCTCCAGACTCAATATTTAAATCCAAAATAGACTATTTATTACTTAGACTTATACTTCTGCTGTTTTCAAATAAAGACATTCGATTGCAATCGCCTTGAGTCCAAAACTGCCGATTCATCTGCCGGAGTCGACTCGAGTGACAATCGGACCAATCTCCAGCCCTGGACAGGCTCAGCTGTTCGACCTTCCATTCGAAACGAAAAAGTCAACAGGTTCGGTTCGCAACGCAAGTGAAATAAGTGGAAAAACATGGCAAAAGAAATTTCATTGGCTACAGTCAAGCAGCACAACAAGGCAGAAGATCTCTGGATAGTTATCGAAAATAAAGTCTATGACGTCACCAAGTTTCGGACCGAGGTAAAAGCGGAGATTGTGTTGCTGCTGGTTGACGCTGATTTCTTTCTACATATGTAATTGACAGCATCCCGGTGGCGAGGACTCCCTCATAGATGTGGCTGGTCGTGATGGCACCAAGGAGTTCATCGACGTGGGCCACAGCCTGGAGGCCAGGTCTGCAGCCATTCAATTTGAAGAACTTTCAAGCGCTTTGCGTCTCCCACTAATTTACGTCTGTTCTTATTTTTGCTTTCAGGGAGATAATGAAGAAGTTTTACATTGGCGATTTGGCAGCTGCTGATGTCAAGACGACAGTCCCAGTTAGGTGAGCAGCCGGCTGTAATTTAACAAGGATAAATAAAAGAACGCCTGCGATCTCATTACGTGTAGAAAAATATAATAATCTTTCCCCCATCTTAGCTATTCTTGCATAGCATGTCTTTCACAAATAATCAATAAGTCTGTTACGCATTTCCCCTGTTAACCGAATGTTTGCATCCATCAACGAAATGTCCCACGCATGAAATTGCAATTACTGACAGTACCTTCTTTCCTCTAAATTTTTTCTCATTGCTGATGCTTGTGCAACTGAATCTTTGGCCATGAATATTCCATGCATGAATATGTCCTGACTAACACCCCTCCTTCTTCCCACATAAGACATACTACAGGGCGCTAGAGAAACGTTACTATAGCTTAGCCAAACTTTCTGAAATTATTACTTGGTATATTATAATCATTTATCAGTTATTTTAAATGTTTATTGATCTGAAATGCACCTGTATTTGGTTTCATAATTATCACACATTTGATATGAAATCGCTTGCTCTTTCCCCAAGCTTTAAGTCATTCTCATGCTCCAAAGTAAAGTTCTACAAAAGCTAGCAAACTTGACCAAAGTGAATAGGGACCTGTAAGTTTTGTACATTTATTAATTACGTAACACTAAATTAAAGCACCAAAATCACTTGATAGCAGGTACACATGTACATATACTCTTGATTGACTAACACAAAAATTAAAATTAAAATTGGAATTAACTTTTGCATGGTAGATTTCGCATCGTTATTCGGCATTGTTTATGATGTTATCTTTTGCCTTTTTCTTTTGTTTCTTGGTTTCTCTTTTCCCACCAACACAACCACAACACTAGTACCACGCCCACAGAAACTGGTGAAGGCAGCTCCAGTAATGCTCCCAAGCAATGTTGCATCCTGCATTAACCCACCTTGCAAGTGCTTAGAGTCCCCCTTCCCCAAAAGCCTAACCTATATTTACCATATTTAAGAATGATCTTTCCCCAATTTTGTAAAACGTATTTTCTATTTGCCGCTTCAAACAGATGCGCTCACGTGGGACTGGCCCTGGGTGCTATTGTTCTGGGCCTTTCGATTATCTATGTGTTCAAGCGATGAGGAGGACCCAAGCAGTAACCATCGGTATCGGTACTGTCTGATATTTCTCCTGCTCCTTCCTTTCATTCCGCCACGACTGGAACAAATTGGAATATTAATGCTCGCATTTTAGATGTTGTACAATAATGTCATTATTTGTTGTGTCGTTTTACAAAAAAAAAAACCCACAAAGTACCCGTGTATGTATATATACGATATTAATTTCTTAGAATTAATAGAACTCCGAGAGAAATCCAAGTAAGAGTCCATAGGAGAGAGCGAGAGAGCAGGGACTCTGAATGTAAAACGCTATACATGTACTCACCTACCAATCTATCTATCAATCTATCCATCTATATCTATAGTCAAAGTTCTATCTGTAGTACACACATTTGTTCAATGTTTAATTCAATAAACCATCTACTGTATACAAAGGGTAAGCACACACACACTCTTCTTCTTCTCTTCCTTCGATTGTGCTTTAAAGCAGAGGTGGGAGCACGTCATTGCTCCCAGCTGTTCCCGAGTCGGAAACGAGCAAACACTTCTGATATTTGAGACTTGTACAATATACTCTTGCACTCTGTCTGGCTGTTCCCATACCTGCATCTGTCTCTTTCTATCTCTTTCTACCCACCAACGAAATACCATCCGTCCGTTATAACTCACTCTCTCCGCCAGAAACTGCTTACTGGACGGGGAAGACTGGGCTGTGAGAGAGAGAGAGAGAGAGAGAAAGCGTGCGAGAAATTGTTTTCTCTGCATCTGGTTGATGGCAACTTTATTCGTTTATTTCCTTTAATTATTTCAAATTAATTATTTCTGATTAAATATTGAGATTTAATTGTTGGAATCATTCGATTTTTTACGCTAGCTGATATTTAGGTTTCTCCAGCTGTGGGTCTTCCGCAATTCAATATATTTAATAAATAAAATACTTTTAGTCTTTTACGGCTTAATTTGGTCCTGGAATAGTGAAGAGTTGTGAATAGTTTTCAGATCTGCATCTGCTTGCTTGGTGCTCTTTTGCTTTGGAAAGAATCTTTGCATGTTGCTTCAGACGGACCATCGGACTGACAGCTTTCTGTTTCTGTGTAAAAAATTAATTCTGTTGTTGGGTGGATCCAGATTCCGATCTGGATCTAAGTGAGGCTGCGGCTGCCTCCTGATCATCCTTAACCGTCTATTTTGAGTGATGTGGAACGTCTTGTAGCTGCGACGCTATGGCATGCTTAACCTGACGCTCAATTTCGACAGAGTGTTCAGAATCGAAAAGGGCCGCGAATGAGCCGCCGGGCCGCTCGTCCAGCTCCTCCAAGCCGCACTGAAAGCTGCTGTGCTTATCCATCAGGGTCTCCTTCTTTGCTTCGGGTTGCAGGTGGGTTTCGTTCAAGTAGCCATGAGAGGCATGTAGCTGGAAGCGGCCAGGGTTTCGTCTCATGGCCTGGGCAGAAGTCTCCGGCCCGTTGTCGTCGCCGAGTTCAATGTTGCCGATGGGAGAAGGACCAGGAACGCAATGCAGATGCCTGAAGTCCGAAAAGGTGAGCCCTCGGGGCAGTTCCGCCTCCGTTATTGTACCCATCTGGTAGTTCCTGCAGCACTGGACGATCCTCTCACCCAGCGCATCGTCCGAGTCCTCCGAATCGGTGTCTGAATCGATGGCGGGGCCCAAACATCGTCCTACCTCCGACTTAAGGCTCTTCAGGTGGGTGGGCGTGGGCTCCGCTTTCCAGCGCGTCCTGCGTAGGCGGTGGGAACGTGAATCTCCAGAAATTATTAGGGGTATCCATGCAGTGAAAGGCCCAGTTGTCCAGTTGCCTGGCCGGACAGATGGCCTGCGGTGGGACCATTTCGCTTACCATCATCTCCTCTCTTGTATCCATTGCGGTGTCATCTGTGGCATCGGCGACAGCATCAGCATCCAGAGTACCTGGGGACACAGACTCCTGCTCCTGCAGGGGTTCCAGCTCGTAGTCATCGATCATGGCAAAGAAGCTGAGGCAACGGCAGACACTGCAAATGTCCTCCCTCCCTAGCACCTCAATGGGACTCTCCTCAGAGCCATGGGTCCTCCAGCGACGGAAATCGTACGCCGCCATGGAGCTGAGAGCCCCCTTTTTGTGGCCACATTTGGTGCACTCGTACATGTTTCCTTATAAAGGGGGAAAAACTATAACAAAATTTTTGATCAATTTTCCAAATAGTACATACGGGGGAATTATATGAAACAAGGCCTAGCCTGTGCCAAAACTTTGAGACATCTGAGATCCCCTAGACTGTGGGATCTAGTGTCAAAAAAAAAAACAAGTAGACTGGAGTATGTAGTGGGGTATAGAGATAGACAGAGAGAGAGAGAGAGAGAGAGGGAGATGTGGGTGCGCTCGCTCAATGGAGTAATCACTCTTTGCGGCTAAGCTGCACTGGAAGAGAGAAAGAGATCACGACGAGTTAGAGTGGGCCAATTGGGGGGTATTGAGATGGTGCCTGTTCTTATGACCTGTGCCTGTGACAGCTGATAAATCAGTCACGTTGCGATTAATGGGATGGGATGGGATAGGTGCGTGTGGGTGTGCGTTACCACACAATGACTACTGTAATATCAGTAGCTATATTTATTGAACAGGCTCTGCACTCAGCACATAAATTTGACAGTCAAATAGACTGAAAATTAACAAAAGTTTCTTGTAAATCTGGAACCATCAATTAATACAATTAAATTTTGGGCTGATGCCGGATTTTCCTAATGAATTTGAGCTTGAATTACTATCAATTGTTTGCGCTTCCTGGACAGGCGCTGCAGAACGGTATGTGGTATGATCATGATCGAGGGGCTGGCCAAGAGAGCGCCCAACTCGTGACTGTCTCGGATGTCGTAGGTCCTGGCGGTGGTCACCATCATGGTGTCGGGGCGGTCTGGTGCACGAACAGCCAGTGTGCCAAGGACGCGCTGATTGGTGGGCTTCAAGCTGGTCAGCCATAGGAGTAGCATCTCCTGCGAGTCGTCATTCAGTTGCTCGCACTCTGGCACAGAGCTGCCGCTGCGGCAGTGCCCAATGACATCACGGTGCCGGATACGGGCCGACATGAGTAGAACGGGTAGCTGATGCTGCAGAGCGTCGCCCTCAGCACTGATAATCATTCCCTGCACAACGAATATCTGGTGGCACTTGGCCTTGTTGAGACGCGTCTCATTCGCGTCCAAGAAGCAGGTCCTGGTCTGCCGCAAGCCCATCCGATCGATGGTCACCGTGCTATGATTGCTTATTATGTGGCTGAGAATGTCCGAGACGAAGCAGGTTCCCTGGCAATCCGCATCGGGGCACTGTATGGGATTCCGGCGCACCTTCAGCTTTCGGAATGCCGTCTTCGGCTCGTCCGGGCTCTGCAGGACGTCGACGCCGTGTAGAGCCGTGCTGAACTGGGATTCGGCAGGCCATGCAGGTTTGCCGGTGGCTAGGCATGGATTCGGGATGATCACCTCGTAGTTGCAACGCTGCACGAGGGACACAGGCATCTGCTGCTGCTGCTGCTGCTGCTGCTGCACGTTGGCCTCGATACTGTGGCCACCACTCTTCTCTTTGAGGACATCCATCAGTCGCTCACCGAGCGCGGCCTTGCTTCGGGGCGCGTCGGGACTACAGCTGGACTGACTCTGCCCCCCATATTCCCCGTGCGACTTTGAATCCTGGTCAAGTTCCTTGCTAGCTTGCGATTCTCCTTGATTTTATGCTGCAAATTCAGGGAGCTGTGAGAGCTGCTGAGCGACTTGTAGCGCGACCTCCTGGTCGGCAAAGTCTTCGGCTCTGGCTGCTCCTCGTTGAGCCACTTCGAAGGTGCCTTCGGACAGTGCCTGGAATAGCGGGCTATCTGCTGCATATGCATATCCTCCAGAGGATATATGGGATTCATTTTAAGGTTTGGCTGCTGCGGCTGCTGCGTATGCGAAGTCTTGGAGCTTCTTCGATTGCGGAGATCCTTGGAACGGCAGCAGGACTTTGCCGGCAGCTGGGGCTCTGCTCGCGCGACGATCGTGGACTCGAATCTTGGCGCAGCTGTAGGTTGGTACATCGTGGGGTCAGTGGAGGTTGCTGCTGTTGCTTCTCGCTCCAAGTTGGTGGGGTCAAAGGAGGCTTCTTCTTCCGCAAATAATGCCGCTTCTGCAGGTGTGGCACCTTTGGCGGTCGATGCGGATAGTCATCCTGGAAGTCAGAGGCAGACGTACTCCCAACAGTCTGCCCAAAGTGCTGAAAGACGCAGCCGGGCTGCGGATGGAGGGAGCAAGCAATGGTATGGGATGGGACAACTTGGTAGTATGTAGATTCAATCGATGATTGATTGATTGTCTTTGCTGATGGCTTACCGCATTATGTCGCGTTTTTCCATCACTATCCTCCTCCTCACTGTCCTCCAGATGGACAAAGAAGCTGAGCTCATGACATCTGCTGCAATAGTCAGAGGAACCCACTATGGTGCGCTCCTCTGGCCTGGTGCGAGGACGACGGAAATCGTACTCCGGATTCTTGCCAATAGTCGCCTTCGTCTGGCCACATATGGTGCACTCATACATTCTGCTTAGCACAGGGGAAAGATGTCCTCGCGTTATCAGATATCGAGCTTACGTGATTGGTTATAGTGGGATATAGCTGATACATATATGTACAGATATATAATGTATAATATGGCAAGTGTTTTTCCAGTTGAAACAGACACTAATTGTCTACAGTACAGAGTCAGTCGTCGTGGACTGAAGTATTCCACAAATCGAGGCCCTGATTTGTTCGACAAAACTAACTAGATTTACCCTTTCTTGCCTCCGCTTTTTAGGTCAAACTATTCTTTGCCTAACACGTTTGGTCTTTGGTCTGTCTTTTATAGGGATTATGATTTTGGGTACTTTAATTCCCCGTACTAACTCCCCTCCTCTCCTGCTTATCCGAAATATAAACACACCCTTACGGCTAAGCGACACTGGGAAAGAGAGGGCACCTGATATATCTGATTAAAAGCAATGGAGTCTTATATCTAAATCTTATATTTATTACAATAATAATGTTTGGGGGGAGGACAGACAAACAAATTGAGAGATTTAATTGGCAGACAAATGACTCATTTAGTTGCTGCTCCCATCCATATCCCTATAGCCCATATTCAGCGAATTCCCCCAAGGTTAATTGTGGCCCAAGAGAGGGATGGGATTGGATAGGATACCCTCTAATGGTACTGGGGGGGCTGTAATACCTTAATTTCTAGTCCAAAGTGTATGGATAATTCATAATATTCGGTTGGTATTTATTTTCTGGTCAGAAAAAATTTTAAATTTATTTTTGTCCGCCCATCGTCATAAACATCATCATTGAATTTCATTTCAGTTGACAAAAACTGCAATCAATCGCGATCAAAAGTCTCGTTGACAGAAAATTGTATCGGAATATATCGCACATGTATGTATATCGATCAATGATCGAGCAACAGATCATCGCACTTAAACGATAGTTTATCGCGAGTTTTTTTTTTTATTAATTTTAGTTAATTTAATTTCAGATAAATGATTACTAAAGCCCATACATCTGTATCTGTATCTGCATCTGAATCTGCTTCTGCTTTTGTGTCTGTTTCTGTTTTTAAGTTCTACGAATAGTTTAAGAGTTTTGCGGAAACAATGGTGGGAAAACAATCCCATCCCATCCCTCCCCATGCCCTTTTGAGTGTTGACTGTAGAGTGTAGTAGTTGTTGTTGTTGTAGTATTGGCATTTAGGAGCCGCCACACACAGGATCTCATTAGTTCTCGTCGTAGAGCGGCGTCGAATCGCCCAGATTCATGGAGTGCGGCGAGGTATTTGTGCGCGGCGTGCTACGCACCGATGCTGCTTTGGACGAGGAAATGGCGGCACCGGCACCAGCACCGCCAACGCCAGCGGCAGCACCAGCGTTCCTGGTGCCCGTCGAGTACTCATTGGTGGGCGTCGTCCTAGAGGCGCTGTATCCGAGGTTCATTCCCAGACCCATAACCATATTCATGCCCATTCCCATGGCCGTTTGTTGTGTCTGCTGCTGTGTTGGCTGTTGCTGCTGCTGCTGTTGTGGGGGCCTTCGGCGCGCCCAGGAATCGTTGGCCAGCTGCCAGTCGAGGCTCTCTTTGGCACGTTGCTGCTGATGCTGATGCTGCTGCTGTTGCTGCTGCTGCTGCTGCGGCTGGCCACCGCTGTAGCCTCCTCCTCCAGCAGCAGCACCCCCCATATCATAATAGTTCCTTGGGGTTCCGCCACTCCCACTCCCACTGCCACTGCCATAGTGTCCATGATGTCCATGCCGCATCTGCTGGCTGCTCGATGACTGCGAACTGGGGCTGGGTACATTGTGGCCGTAGCGCGGCGTCTGTGAGGCATGCGGCGTGTACGGCGTCATGAAGGGTGTCTGGCTGCTGGGCGTGTATGGGGTGTTGATCGCGGCACCGCCAAACGATGGCGTCGCTGAGGTGCCATAGTGTGCAGCGGCCGCTGCAGCGGAGGAGCCGTAGCCACCACCGCCGCCGCCAATGGAATGCGATATGGAGTAGGCACTGGATCCGGCACCGCCACTGCCACGTATGTCCGAGCTGCTGATGCCGCTGCGCGGTGTACCGCCGGACACGCTGCCCGCAATGCTACCCGATATGCTGTAGGGCCCTGCCGAGGATCCTCCGCCCCCAGAGTTGAGCATGGCCGCAGGCGGTCGCATGCCATGCATCGGTGTGTTGATTGCCGGCGAGGCGGTTGGGTCCAGCCAATGCTCCTTGAACCAGCGCAACAGACTGTTGACGGAATCAAAGACCTGGCCGCGAAAGCGATAGCCCTCGGGCATCACCGTCACATACTCGGTGCGAACCTTTGTCTTGGGCAGATACGAGAGCAGGAATTTCCCCGGTATAGTCTTCGAGGCGGTAAAGAAATAGTGGATCTTTTTGGGGTCCTTGGTCTTCTCGTCGCGCAGCAGCTGCTCCATGAATTCCCGCTCATTGCCATTCGCTGGCGTCGCATTCTTCTTGTAGTACTTGTACTGGATGAGCTCTCGGGCCGCGGCGGCCATGGGATTGATGTAGCGGGCAATGATCTCGTCGAGATCTTCGAACTCCTCGGTGCCGATCCAGAGGCTGCGCCCCAGGCTGTAGTCGTTCTCCTTGCCCTCCTCCCGCACATCGATGTGCTGGAATACCTCATCGGCCACCTTCCATGTGGCCGTTAAATGGGCCGCCGATTTGCTGCTGGGTCGCATCGCCACCTCGCCCTGATCGGCCTCCGCCAGCATGGCGATCACCTCTGCATATGACTTGTTGAAGAAGCATGGATGGGCGATCACACGCCGCGCATAGGTCTTGCGCTTGAGGGCCTTGGCCTTGGCGTCCGTCACCTTGCGGTTGTCCAGCTCCTCGGTGACAAAATCGTAGAAGGCATCGCGTCGCGGCCGCCACTCGTTGTTCACGTCCTTGAGGTCCGCCGTCTTTGAGGAGCAGTCGACGGAGAAGCGATCAATGTCGATCTTGATGATCCGCACATGGATCATCTGGGCGACACGGACACGCTCCTCGGGATTGCGTACTTGCTTGTCGGACAGATTCTTGATGTGTATGAAGCCGGGTAGGCCATTTTCCAGCCGCACTCGCACACCCGAGGCCTGGCCGGGACACGAATTGGCATCGAAATGATTCCACACCTCCGACAGCTCGGGGAAGTCATCCTTGTGGCAGAAGGGGCACTGCCAGCTGCCCGTGTTCTCAATGCGCACGGGATTGGCATTGTCCAGCTGCTCGCCCTGGGGCCGGCGATAGGTGAAGCCCGTGACCATGGCCGTCACGCATTTGCCCACGTAGAAAGAGTCGGGCGTCTCCTTGGTGAGCAGATCGAAGAGCTCCTCGGCGCTGGGCTTCTGGAAGGGCGACCGGTAGTCCTTGTACAGGCAACTAAGCTCGTTCCGGATGTCATACAGCGTGATGCTCTTGCTGCCGAAACCCTGACGCTCCAGTTCGACGGCAAACGCATCCAGATCGAGATCCTTGAGACGCTCCGGCGACTCGAGTATCTCCTCGAGGGCACCCGCCGGATTGGTCTCCTCGTCATCGTACTCCATCGCATCGATGGCCATCTTGCGGGCCCACTCGTACGTCTCCGGATGGACGCGCGAGCCATCCAGCACCTCCACATACGCCTCTGTGCTGTCGCCCAGCGAACTGGTGTCGATCTTGATGAAGCCGCTGCAATTGATGAACACCTTCGGGCCCAAATGGCAGACGGTGACCAGCTGTGTGCGATTCTCCAGCCGCTGGTTGCTCTGCTTGAGGAGTTTCAGCAGCGCCTGGCCCTTGCGCGGCCCCAGGCCGCAGGTGTACTGCAGCAGGTTGACGGTGCGCGAATTCTGCACCATCATATTGATGTCCAGGCCCACCTCGCTCGTGCGATTGATGAACTCCAGGCTGAGATACTCGAGCAGCATGTCGCGGGGCACCCGCTCCTGCAGCGGATGGTAGCGCAGGCACAAAATCTCATCATCGGCATCGCACAGCTGCGAGTATTCCACGAGCGGATCCTGCATTTTGCGTGCCAGCGAAACGGCCTGCT